ACCTATACATTTTCGGAAAACTTACAACACCAGAAACACGAATTCAGAGAGTTTCAACCAAAATGTTTGCAATAACTCAATTTAGAGCCAGGTGAACATTGTGATAATTGTCACAATTGTGAAGTTGACATAAAATTAAATATTGGCGAACACACCCGATACCTTCCTCATATGCACAGAATATGCTATTGGTTAAATTTTAATTTAAAACAGAATGCAGAAACCAAATGGACAAGGGTACATACGATATTTTGGAAATCCAGTTATCTCCCTTTATGGAAAATATCAATAATTATTGATAACAGTATTTTGTTTAAAGAATTTATACGATAAACTGAATATGATTTAACTACAGACAAAGGCCTATATACATCAACCTTTTTTCAGATAAGATTTGGGGCTAAAGTTCTAACAAATATTTAAACTGAAACATAGCATCTACAGATATTTAGTTTGTTCACTAAAATATATATGGCCAAAACTAAATAATGCTGTAATGGAAGTGACAACATACAGCTAGTATTCCTGTTTTCCATGCAAGTTTCATCACATCCTCGGTATCCACAGTGTTTTCATTCCGTTCTACTTCACTATACCCTGGGTTAATCCATAGGGTTTCCACGACTTCAAATTATCTGCCCTGGCCTTGATTGTGAAGGTCTACGATCCAATCAAGAAAAAGTTTACAAACCAGTCCTTTCGCCTTCGATTTTATAAGGGTAATTAACCAAATTCATATCCATTTACTGAATGATTTATGTAAGTAATGTATATATTTCTAATTCATTTATAATTAATTGTATTATCAAAATATGTAGTATGAAGTATGTTTCGCTGATTTCAACATCTATATGTTTGACTTTTGTTATAATTATTACTATTCGTTCTTGGTCCGGTCTTCAGTAATTTGTTGTTAGTAAGTACGCATTTAGAATAATTTGAACTTCTCTCATTTAGGCTAACTCCTAAACTTGTCTGGTGAGAGTCACTTCCCTTTGCCAACTTCCCTTTCAATTAACAATGCATGGGATTGGTCGATAAAAATAGCACAATCATCAAGGGCGAATAATTTGAAAACGTGTCTCCCCTATAGATTAACCCAGGGGTTAGTGAAGTATAACGGAATGAAATCCCTGGGTATACTGAGGATGGTTTCATCAGTGAGGCGCAGATAGGCCTACACAGTAAGGGGATGGCTCAATTACCGGGCGGTCCAGGATATGATCATGGTCAGGCGTGAATTCACCTTGTCCGTTGCTCACTAATCAGGAGATCTGAGGTTCTATCCACGTGTTGACCTAGACAGTTCCCCAAACTTTCCAGCGTTGTTTCCCCTTGTCAGTGGTGCAGGAAGTGGGGGGGGGCTGTGATGGACAGTATCTAGTTATTCGGATGGAATATAAAACTGAGGTAGCGTGCACGTAAAAGAATTTGAAATTCGAAATAAAGAGTAGGCGGCAACGGCGTTGTTTGGACCACATTCCTCCTATAGCATAATGTATGGCGTATGTACATCTTAATTATACCGGTTGATACCAAACAGTTCGACATTAAACTAAATTTTATTTTTTTTCTCTTCATTACAATTGCCACTTCCTTACAGTATTATTTTGGTTTTGCCATATATCTATTTTGGATGAATTTATATGCCCCCCCCCCCCCCCGTCCACCCAGATTCGATGAGCCTTCCATTTTTCGGGCAGTGTGTTTCAGTTTTTTGGGCACAAACATCAGAGGATGGAGAATGCGACCATATATAATTGTGTAATTAATTAAAAATAAACAACCATCACAGCTTTGTGGAAAATTCGTTTTCGTTAATGATTGATGCATTCAGAAAATTCGGGTGACAAAGAAAATTGTGGGCAAAAGGGCTCAGCACCCCGCCCAGCCCCCTCCCAACTGAGATTGCCCATGTAGCACCTTACCTGTTGTTCAGTCCGATTCAGTTTGTTGAATTAAATATTGTTTAAACTATTGTCCACCCCACATCCAAACAACTGGGCGTTGTCTCTCCACCCCACCACCTCAGTACCACTGACAGGGGAAACTGAATTTGATATTCATGCATGTAGTGACAGCGATGATGATGATGACGGTTAAATTTGATGACATTTCAAGTGAAGAGTAACGGCATGATTTCGATTTTCAATAATTGATTTACTTCATTAAATAATGAGTTTCTGTCTTATATCTATATTTGTTTGTAAATTACATAATTATAGATACGGTTTTGGTTTTAATGTGTGTAATATGGCCTTAAATATCTGAACTAGAGTTTTCCAGCTGCCTGTAGTAAAAATAATGTAGGTTCTAATTGAAACGGGATGCGAATGTGGTTTTATATTTTAGTGGAAAAAATCACGTGGTTTCAATGCGATTTACAAAATTATAGACAAATTTTGGTCTCCATTATTTCATAATCATAATGCTCAACAAGTGTCAAACATATCATTCTTCTTGCTCATCAAACTAGGCGCACCGCACATAATTTCTGGGTAAACACCGGCTCACCAACCCCTGCAGCCCCCCCCCCCCAGGACCCCATTAACGATATAAATATTGAGCTTCTGTGCTGCTCACACATGGTCTTGTGCGTCATACAGCATCAGCAGTCAACACGCATCTGAAATTCCTTCATCAACTGCAGACATTTGACAGGAAGGGAGATAGCACTCTATTATTTTGAGTGTTCTCCTGGAACAAAACAAGGTTGAGTGATAAGCTCGATATTATTTGTAATGTTCTTGAATGAGTATATCAATATGGTAGATACTGCAAATTGTCAAAGTATCTTTGTTGATTGTCAGGTTCCAAATCTCACGCAGTTACTAATTGCAAATGACATTGCAAATGTAGCAGATACAGTAGGATGTTTATAGAAGCAGATCGATATGCTGAAACATTTTCGTCTCAAATTTCACATGAAAGTCAATACAAATAAAACAAAGATAGTGGTCTTTAAGAGGTGCGGTAAGGTAAAAGATAAAGAACTACAAATTGTAAAAGAATACAAATATTTGGGTCTTTACTAGCACCAATAACTGGCACCTAACTATCAAATCACTATGTCTGTCAGCGGAAAAAGCTCTGCACCCTATACATAAGTTTATCAACACTTACAAATTAAGTCATGAAAGAGCTGCTTCTGTTTGGCAATATGATTGTCCCAATATTACGTTATGGGGAAGATACTTGGAGTTTTGAGTTATACAGTAAAATAGAATCAGTGAAAAAAAAATTCAGCAGAAAACTCCTAGGTAAAAATAAAACAACCACCACAAACTGTGCCGCATTTGGGGAATTGTCACATATAACTCTAAGTGCATTAAATATTAGCTAAAAATATTAGAAATCGGTGATGAAAGATACCCAAAAAGATGTTATGAAATGCTACTAAAATAATGCTGGTAGGATAACTAGAGCTACCAAGATTAAGAAATTACTGAGTATCTATGGCTTTCAATATGCTTGGTTCTGTCAGCAAGGAGGAAATTCAAACAATGTTATGTATACATTCAAACAAAGAGTTATAGATTGTAGTACCCAGAAATGGCATGGAAACATAGAAAGTTGTAGTAAACTCAAATTCTATTGTGAGATAAAATCTGTTAGTGTCAGAAAAATACCTGTGATGTGTTGAAAATAAATTGTATAGAGTTGCTTATTATCGACTCAGATTAAGTAGTCATAATTTAGAGGTAGAGAAAGGTCGAGCGAACAGTGTAAATAGTTATGAGAGATATTTTCAATTTTCCTGTATAACTAAATGCAAATCTATGGTTGAGGACGAATTAAATTTTCCGAGAATTTGTGATAATTATACTGATTTAAGAGTTTTGTATAAAGTGAACACATACTTTAATTATAGAGAACCAACTTCACACTGTTTACAAAGTAAATGTGATGATGTTATAAATAATATTTGCAAGTTTGTATATACATGTATTCTTAAATAGATATAATTACATAAAATCAAAAGTCGAAACAAAATCGGATCTTGACAAAGTGAATAAATGTAATTACTTATTACAAAAGAAATTGTATATTGAAATTGTACAATGTATCAAATGGATTGTATATTGAAAATGAGTTGTATTTATAGATGTTCAAAATTGATTATTATCAATTTGAATTGTTATTATCATGAGCTAACAATTAGTGAGTGTACTATGAGCCTAATTTTGGTCTAAAATGCATTGAAAAAAAATATAAATAAGATTAGATGCAAATTACGCATTAAATGTCATCACAAATGTCAGCAGAATATATTAATAATACTATTTGGTGTCAATGCAGTGTAACACTCGTTTGACGTGTGCAGCTCATTCAAGATACCATTTAAAATAGCGTCTACAACAATTAGTAGTCGGTTATATGTGTTGGCTGTATGTAGCTCTTTTAATTCGTTAAACGTGTGGAGGCCCAGCGTATCCAAATTGAGACTCTGTTGTAAATTGTACACCATTTATAGTTGTATTTTTTTTAAAATTTCACCCAATTTTTGCAGTATGGACTAAGACTAGTAATTATTTCCCCTTGTTTCATGATGGGTAGTGCGAGTTATAAATAGACAATTTTTCCCTTAATTTTTTTCTCCCCTCTTCCTGCATTTTTGGGTTGACTTTTTGGTCTAGAATTGGAGAAAAGGGATCAAATTTGCAATTTCATAGCAGTTTTGGGTAATACTGATGATACTACAGCGGAGGGATAGGGGGTGTAAAGTGTCTTTCTGCAGAGCAATCATTGTGTCGGAAGTGAGATTTTCACCCCTGTCAACTTCAAATCCGTGTAGCAAAAAATCTAAACGGTCAACCCCCTACAAAATTATGATGAGGAGATTGCCAAATGTTGTCCCCATTGTGCCTATAAAGATTGGAACCAACGGAATGTTGAGCAAAAAGCTACAGCCTGTGATGTTACAGTCATTTAACATTGAAGTCAATGGGCAAATAATTGCTAGTCTGAGTCCGTATGTGTGTGGATTGCCCTTAGCGTTTTATTTCCTAGAATAAGTCTTTTTAATCGCGTCTACAATTAATATCGCCATTTTGAGACATATCTACGACTTGTGCAGGCTAAAACTATGAATAGTAAGTATTATAGCTTCCAGTTTAACGATGTAATTCACTTTAGTATACCCCAGCCTCGCTGAAAATAGTTCTCGGTAGTTTTAGAGGTCCGTACCTACAGTTCTGTAGCTTATAATAGCCTAGTATTGCTTCGTTTACTTTCACTTTCACTTTAGCGTCTTGCTGATATAGTTAGTTATATTCTGATAATATTTTTGAATGATGGTTATTATACCGTCTGCCAAACACCAGTTTAAGCCTTAGCGTAGAAATAAATACGGGGAAAAATATACAACATGGCCGACAAGGGGCATTTTCTGGAATTATGTCATGCTGAATTTATGACAAATTTATCAATATATATATGTCACAAAACAATAAGAGAAATGGGGTTTAACGTCAACTCGACACAAACTAGGTCATTTCAGAATACTTCAAACACCTTTATTCTAATACAAAAAAAAACCCCAACAAAAACTAACTTGCAGAAGGAAAAAACTTAATATCGTATTCACCCGCACCACCGATGTCATCCCTCGCAGTGATATTAGCGACCTAGCGAATATATCACTATACTGATCAGTGCGAGGCGACCCTACTCCTTGTCACCACACTGATCAGCAGTGAATATTCGCTAGGCCGCGACAATCACTGATAAGGATGACATCGATGCGACTTAATGAGCCACAAATATTAACTTTTTTCCTCCGACAAATTAAATTCTAAAACATTTTTTTTTATGTATTAGAAAAATAAATAAAGACGTTTGACGTATTTGTAGGTAAAAATTATTTCCTATTTAGTGTAAATGGGTATTAAAATGAGTAAAAGGCTCCATTCGCCCGAACCAGTAAGGTCTTGTGTAAACAATGCACGCACCATGATTGAGCCAATGATTGACGCCGCGTGATGAGACGTCACGTGTTGAAGGTAGTCATCTTTTACAGAGAGATTAGAAGACTTTCGTAATCCTCTGTGAAACAGATTGCCTTGTCACATGCAAAAAGGGAATCGAAACCACGCAACTTGACTGAATTTCAGCACGGGTTAAACCGCCCCCACCCCCTTCAATTTCAAAACTTATTTAAGATGCATTATGAAGGAGCTAAATCTGCCTAATGCAGATCTGTCGTTTGGCCTCAAATGTTATTCACATGCCAAACCTCTAATTAACAACGGTAGCAACGACAATCGAGACAACACTGTGCTTCAAACGGCCATTACTCCGCTCAGATGAAGTAATTTGAATGAAATTTTCAACATATTTTCTTTTCATTTTCTATATTTTTTTAACTATTTGAACTGCTGGCAATCAGCTTCCCTTTAATAAAACAAAATAAATCAACACCATAATCATTTCTTTATACGCCAAGTTGGGTCTTATCGACAATGTCGGATTGATCCAATATGACTTCCTTCGTAGCTGTGGTGAAGATTTCCTTGGTAGTTTACCATACAAAAAAATCGGGTTAATTCATATTTTGGGTGGTTCGAATTCCGTTTCTAGATTCGCACTATACATCACTTTGTGACACAAAATATATCGAAGATCTAATTTTAATAATTTGTCAGATTATTTTACACTAGGCAAATAATTTAAATAAAACAATGGAAGAAAATCCATGTTAAAAAGTCGTTTTTAATCCTAAATGTCTAGTTCGGTGTTCTTCACTTGATACTTGTATACCATTTTTATGCAAAAAAATTATATTCTAAAGATAAGCTAAAATACAACTGAGTAATAAGATCACAATTTAATGCCTATTTAGGCCTATCAAATAGGGGATGTCTGATCATATAATTTAGTCACATGTATAGCTAATCCAACAAGTTAGATGTTATTCATTGATATTCTTACGACGTAACATCTAACATCCGAACAGTCAAAAGCTCGGCGCACAAGTTGATAACTAGTTTTTTCTTTCAGCGGACGGCAAAGGGTCACAATTTTCAGTTATCTGCACTGCTTATACATTAACCTTATGTATCTAATCCACTTCTTTCACACAAAACGTTTTTCTTACTATACATTTACGAGATTTCCAAAAGTTCATCACCGACTGTAGCACCAGTAGACGTGGAAAGCGGCCATCACTCAAAACTGGTCGCCACATCCGGCGTATGACCCATGCATCTTTTCTTACTACATATCTTAGTAGCCTGGTGATCGTCTAGTATTTTCATTTGTCGTCTTTGGCTTCACTTTCACGTTGTGTATTCTCTTTTTCTTATCTATCTCAGTTAGTTAAGGCGTTTGTCTTGCCAGGAATAACAATGCAACAGTTCCTTTTTACATTGTATATATCATAGCCGGATACATAGATACAAGCATACAAGTCATTCTCTCACACCCAATCCGACCATACTAGCTGGGCGAGTCTGCTGATAGAAATTGCTACATCGTATGGTCTAGAAACTCAGATGGTAATCTCTCCGGAACCTAATAAAATCTAAGTACTAGATGTGTTAGTGTTCTACCTGTTGTGTAAGTTATCCATTAAATCCTATTTTACTTGTCCAAAGTGTTCAAAAATATTTTTAAATCCAAGTCACATTTGAAAAGCTTTACGTAGGGCTTTTCAAATCAATTAGATGAATTTTTCCAATTTTCAAATTAGGCGATCTTAAAAGATGAATTTTGTATCATCAATTAATTGGAATATTGTAAAATAGTACAATTTGTTGACCAGAATAAAGATTGTGACAAAATCTATCACGGACCAGGGGTATTGTAACAGTGCATATTGACGAAATATGCACAAATATTTTATTTTAGATATTTTATTTTTAGGTATTTTAAAGAATGTATAAAATATAGATTATATAGTTTATTTTAAATGTATATATACTGAGCGCCATGGAAAACGCATCACTTAGTTTTTCGTATAACAAAATGATCCTGTAAACATATCTTATTTATTTTTCTTCTTATTGTGAACAATATTCAAATGGGAACACATTTGTACACTTGTGGATGTTTAATCTGTAATCAACGGTACAAAGTCAGGGGGGGGGGGGTCAAAACCAAAAGTACGACACAGATGTCAGTAGCGCGTGTGTCCTCCACGGGCTCTTACGCACGCTGTGCAGCGATGTCGCATGGAATTTACCAATGTTTGAAAGAAGGCCTGGGGCAAATTGTTCCATTCTTGGACAAGAGCAGCTTCTAAAGCAGCAATGGTGTGAATCTGTGGTCTCCGATACAGACGGCGTCCAATCTCATCCCAGACATGTTCTATCGGTGCCATGCGGACGTGCATTATCCTGTTGGAAGTGCTGAAGTTGTGGGTGCGCTCGAAACATCGGAACAACAATTGGTTGCAAGACATCATCACGGTAGGCTACCGCATTAACGCGACCCCTGCAAATGTGTAGGGCGGTCCGGTGATGAAATGTGAAGCCTCCCCACACCATTACACTTCCCCCACCCCATCGATTCGTTTCGAAGACGCAGCAGTCTGCAAGACGTTCCCCAAGACGTCTCCACACACGTTGACGACCATCAGCGTGATAAAGATGAAAGCGACTCTCATCACTGAAGAGCACACTTTGCCAGTCTACTCTTCTCCATGTCTGGTGTCCTTGAGCCCATATCAAACGCCGCTGACGGTGATGATCCCCGAGGATAGCTCCAACATAAGGTCGTCGTGCACGGAGTCCTACTTCTCTTAGACGACGTCTTACGGTGTTGGCACTTACTGGTCCTTGTCTTCCGACGACTGCTGCACCTGTTCGAGTCGCTGGGCGAAATCTGTCACGCAGATGAGTGACCTGGATGTAGCGGTTTTGAGCCTGGGTTGTGACGCGTTGTGAACCAGGACGTTGACGGTCACGTGTTGATCCAGTAACTCGAACACGTTCCACCAACTTTACAATAGTGGACTGATGACAATTGAAGTGTCTGGCAATAGCACGTGTAGACATGCCAGCCCGGGACATTCCCATGACTTCATTCCGTTGATTTTCAGTAAGTCTCGGCATCTCTAGCTCGATTCCTTCACACGTCCAACAACAAATTACGACAGATTGACGTTTCACAGTTCATGTACTGCACATTAAGTTGAATACATGCTTTTAAAGGGCTCACACACAATGCTGCACGTGAATATTGGGGTTTTCATGTGCATCTCGTGCAATTTTTTTTGTGCACACGGGCCGATATTTTTTGCGTTTGGGAGCATTGTGTGAAACAATAGTTCATAGTATTGCATAATATTATACATACAAAACCACCTAGTAATAAAATATTTGGGAAAAAAAGTGATGCGTTTTCCATGGCGCTCGGTATGGTTATTAAAGACGTTGAGGCGAGAATGCAGTAAAAAGCATATATCAACCTTGACGCTGATTGGGTGTCAATAGATTTTAAGCAATATTATATAATTGTATACCCGTATCAAAGAGCCTTAATAGAGGAATCTTTATTATTTTTAATTTTTTTTGTTTATCTAGACGTAATTAAGGAAGATTAATGGTGACAGCTTAAACTTTTAAAACAATACGCAATGATTAAACTAACGCTATTACTCAGAATGTCGTTACCTGACATATTTAACCAAGCTAGTCTCGATCTGGTCAATCAGACTTCGTATCGAGAAATGGACGTCTTTTGTTTATGGTTTTCCACCAATCAAAAATGAGTTTAATCCTACACGTGTCATCCTTAATAGTACCGGGACTTTTGGAAGATATAAATAATCTAGCTTAAATTTTACCATTATCTTCGCTTAATAAATTACTAAGAAACGACAATATTGGATCTAAGCTATATAATCTATAAAATATACAATCTTTAAAATACCTAAAAATAAAATGTCTAAAATAAAATATTTGTGCATATTTCGTCAATATGCACTGTTACAATAATATGTTCAGTCTTGTTGGTGTCGAGACTAGTGGTGGTGTCATTTACCTTGCTCTTTATAAGCTTGGGCATAGCAATCGAACCATCATTTTGGGTGGCGTGGCGCCGGGTGTATCCTCAAAAAGACATATACGGCAACTTTAATGTCCGTGTGCTGGTATCTATATGTGAAAACCCTCGATAATAGGTTCACTTGTTTACTATGTTTTCAGCTTCGGGTGTTCCGGAAAGAGATTCACGGGAAAACGACCAAACAGTTTCACGTCCTTTTGACTACACCCGTAGGCCTCCAGAAAATGACCATTATCAAGGAGCTGGAACTATACCACTGCCAGTTCAACGTGGTAATAGTTTAGGATTTTCTCGAAGCCCAGAAGGTAAATGAACTCTTTAAGTAGTCAATAAAAATATGAATAAATATTCCCGGATTGGGAAGCCACAGTGGTCCCGGGTCCGATTTCAGTGTTGACCGAGTAAGATCCTCTGGAATGTTCAACGTGGTTTCTATTGTCAGTGGTACAGGACGGATGTTCAGGCAATAAAAAGCGTTGATGTGTACTTAAAAAAACCCTAGTGAGAGGGTTCTTGTTGGACCTGGGAGCCACAGTGGCTCAATGAGTAAGACGTTGGTTCGCTAACCTGGAAAGGTCCCGTGTTCGATCCCTACACGTTGGGAGGGCCTGACAAGGGACAACGTATAGTCGTTCGGATGGGGCGAAAAACCGAGATCCCATGTACACATTGGCGTGTACGTAAAATGTACCTCATAGCACACTGTGTTGCGTATGCTCTTCTTCATTACCTCAGTCGGAGCAGAGCAGTGGGACGTTAAAGCCCTTTTCATTTCATTTCATTTTTTGTTGGACAAAGTGCTACAACTACATAATGGCTTCGACATTATTCTTTTGCAGAACACCCTTAGCCTCCCTTGCAGTATCTCAGAGAGTGCAATGTTTATGTTTTGTCGATGAAGTATCGATAATAGGTCCACTTGTTTACTATGTTTTCAGATTCGGATGTTCCGGAAAGAGGTTCCTTGGAAAACGAACCAACAGTTTTAGAATCTTTTGACTATACCCGTAGGCCTCCAGAAATTAGCCATTATCAGGGAGATGCAATTAGACCAGTGCCGGTTCTTGAACCTGATTATAGCTTACCATTTTCTCAAAGCTCACAAGGTAATTGAACTGTTTAATTGGTCCTAATAATAAAAAAAATACTTGTTCAAACAAAAAATACAAACAACACCCAACCAAGGTGACGTATTAAGAGCTTGTCCGTGTTACGACCATGCAAAATTCGAAAAAAAGTGATAAGCCTTAGGTCAGCAGATTTGATCGAAACCACGATAATTGAGTCTTCTATGAGGAAGAATCATTGTGTTGAGTATCTTTATCTGAAATTTTGTAACTGTATTAACGGCGAGAGGCGCTTTCCCCCTCTAAATAGACATTTTAGACCTAATTTTAGACACTTTTCAGTCCTGGTTTCCGCAAAACCCTGTGTGCGATAATCATTGATTTTATTCTGGTTTATAGGCATCGTGGTAGTCTTAAGGTGAAACGTGTTTTGTTGTTTTTTTCTTGCGCAAAATAATCGCGAAGATTTACACCCGTTTTTTTCCAAAGAATGTTTCTACATTTTTAAATTTTGGGGTATTTTAACGCTTAATTACTCATCCTTTGTGGTCAGTGGTATCAAAGGTAATGATATTTATTAGGGCTTACCGCGTATAACACATTTTCGGGGAAAATAATGACTAGCGCGAGCTCCGAATTACCGTAATAGAGTGTCAAAATCGGCGAAAAATACATTATTTTCAGGCCCTGCCCTACTAACCACCGACTACTACACGTGTTTGTTAGTCAATAGTGCCCAAAATATTGCAAACATTGACTGACAATGAAAGGTATGTTACAGATATGTATATTCTACACATCCAAAATTTAAATGATTTCATGAAAAATTGAAAAGATTATGGATAAATAGAAATTTTAACTAATCAGCGTAAAACCGACAAAGAAAAGCTATAGCTTACACAGGATTAACTATACATTATGCAAGAGCTAAATCTGTCTATTGCAGGTCTTTCTTTTGGCCTGAAATGTTATCTAAATTATTAATTAGACATTAATTAACCTATCCAGACATGAGCCTTATCACTTCCTGCATGGTCTTCTTATGGACAAGTTCTTAAAACACGCATAATTCAACTTATTAATTTATTACACCAAAAGTCCACCGATTTTTTGAAACAATAATTATACTTTAGGTTCATGGATTTTGATAAAACGAAGAAATACCCCCATTATCACAGTCACTTGTGCATATCCAGTTCGCCTACACGATCGGATTGGTCGATTCCTAGATGGATTTTGATGATACTTGAAATATGTCATAGCCCTTCACCTGAGGTTTAACACCTATACGCCATCTATGTATATTTAATTACCCCACTGGAATTTCGTCGGTTCTATCAGATGCAATAAATTTACTTTATATTCTTAATAACTGTGTCTATCTTTTTATTATGATAACTTGCTGCAGTCTGATTGGTACTTCTACTTGACGGAATTTGATATAACTTAAATCGGCATTATATCAGTATCCTATATAAATTTAAACAGTAACGCTACCCGTCTACTACACCTTGAATTATGTCTTCATATCCCCGTATTTCAATGTCTACACTATATACCTCTCTTCAATGTGATTGGTAAATGTGGGTGTATGATGCATTCACAGTAATCTATCCTTTCTGCTAAAGCCTAAAATCACTAATAACATACAATTATGTAAATGTACATTTTGCAGGCACCGGACTTCCTATTCCATCATGGATTCCGTCACTTCCAGGTTATACTAGTCCACCTCTTGCAGAGCCTTATTTGAATAGGTACGTAAACAATGACAAAAATCGTCGATTAAGAAGAGTTGGGATGGTTATTGGCTCGAAGGTAGATTCATCGCCAAAGAAGCCGAAACAGAAACCAAATGAAGTCACCCTAAATGTTAATGTTTCGAACAAAGGGCTCAATATTTTTATCTTTATATTTATTTTAATAATCGTTCTCTTCATAATATATTGGATGGTGTCTCCCAGTGATAATCGAGAATCTGAAATTACTACTGAAGTGTGATTGACCAATCTGTCTTTGACGTACTGGATGTAAAAGCAAAAGTTACGGTGTTTTGGTGAGAAATCTGCTAATGGAACTTCTAATCTCACTAAGAACTTTCAGTGCTTTCTTGTCTACTTTTTAAATTCTATGTACCTTTATGTTTTTTGTTCAAAGGATATTATCATATATTATAGCTGTGTTTTTTTGTGAGCTTTTATTATGTCAATAAAATAGGCCGTGGAAACATGGCGGTTGTGTGTATTTCATCATTATTCTGTTCGAAATCAATTCTCGCGAGCCAGACCCAGTGTCTGCATAATCAAGATGGATTTAATATTTATTTCGCGTTTAATATTAAAGGTTGTGTTACGTTGTTCTCCGTTACCAATGTGTAAGTAGCGGCTTGTAAGAAAGACGGAGATGATCAGTTTAGTCAACCCCGTTTATATTGGACGCCATTAATTATAGAACTAGTGACTAGGGAGAAGTTATTTTTTTAAGTGAACAGATCACGTCACATGATTAATTTTCAAGAAAGCAATTAAAATTAAAAGTAATTATTTTTAAGTTCAGTCAGAAATAATGCAACGTGGTCTAACTCGCTGATTCAATACGGTTATATCAATAAAATTTAAAGATTAGCAGTTTAACTTCACTACCGAATCCTAGCATTCAAATAAAACACATTTGTTGAAACTGCAATTAAAGTCAGTGTCATTTGATTCACAACAGCTTTCTGCCATCGCATATCATTAACTGTTGGCTTGATCATTACCACGTCTTCCTTTAACATGGAAAGTTCAGCAGCATTACAGTTAAGGTAGAAATCTTGTTTTCTTTCTGCTATCTGTTCAGGCACATTATCCGACGATCTGGCTTTCCAACAGTCTATTTGTTATTGGGAGTAGAGTTCCTGTTCGTCGTACTGGTGAACTTCCAATGCATTCAGTTCGAGTATTTCTCCAATCAAGTAGAACGAGATATGGATCGGTTTCAGATCGAGTGATTTGGCGGAAGTCGTTTGGCAGTCTTCACTGCGCTCTCAACTTTTCCATTCGACTGGGGGGAGGGGGGGGGGGGGTATCGTGGAGGTGATATCACATTCTTAAGTCATAGTTGTTAGAGAATCTTCTGAGTTGAAAGGAGACCCTTTATCTGTGATAACTTCATTGGATAGTCCTTGTCGAACCATGTGTAACTTTAGCTTCTTAATAATCTCAGGAGCTCTCAGATAGAGTTTGTCTATCTCAAAGTAGTCAGAGTAATAGTTGACAATGATCAGGTCATCTTTCTGGTCAAACTCAAAAAAGATCACTTCCAAGTTTCGACCAAGGTATGGTAGTTACTTAATGACTTATCAGTGGGTCCTTTTGTTGACTCTGCTGCAGAATATTACAGGTGTTACATTCTCCAATATACTCTGTGATATCATTTGTCATCTTTGGCCAGTACACATGCTCTCTGGTTCTCCTAATGTAGCCCTATGTACCAGTACCGATATGATTGGAGTGGGGTATATCCAAAGTACTGGGTCTGATGCGCAAGGAAATAACAGCGTCTTACCCACTTAGCCACCATGACACCCTTCTTGGCAACAACTAAGCAGATATCCAGTCAGTTGAAAGGTGTGATGTTCGTCACATCAGTAAGTCATTCAAATTCAGTTTTCAGAGATTATTTTAGAGCAAAAGAAATTTTACGTCGAAGCAGTTGGGCGGACTTTACATTGTTGTCAACTTCCAAATGATGCATTCCATCAAGCTTGCCTTCACCTATGAACAAATCAGTCAGTTCCAGTCTATCAGTTACCTGTGTTAGAGAAGCACTTTTCTTCCCGTTACTCGCTGATGACAACAGAAGAATTTTCCCTAAGTTAACAGTCACAAGATTCCCTTGCCGAATTGCCCGGGAACCCAGATTTGGTTTGCAAGTTTCACCTCCTACCATTAAGATTATTCTTTGGATTGGTGATGGAAATTCTTTGCTTCCCCACAGGAATGGTCACAGATCCGTTGAACATGCGAAGTACTGTTATTCACCTTTTACACGTTTGTCAAATCCCCGGTCTTCAAAGACTTCCATGTACAGTTTCTGGGGTAAAATATTGACAGTTGATCCACAGTCTTTGTCATTTAGAGACATTTGGGCAAAAAGAGAGAGAGAAGTGGGGTTTAACGTCCACTCGACACAAACTAGGTCATTTCGGGACTAACATATGGTTTAATTTTATTTCAATAATTCGCTTGCGCGTAGGAGAAAACCCACGAGGCTGGACAGGCGACCCTACTCCTTGTCACATACAACCGGGGATTCGATACAACGCCAGTTGACTCAATGACAGGCCTTATGATACAGCACGCACGTGCTAACCTTGGGCAAAGATCCTCTTCTGATAGTCATTCATCAATTCACCATGTACAGAGTTCGCAGAGTTTACGTGTTCAGAGTCCTCATCAACAGACATAATATACTCATTATCTGAGTATTCCTCCATCATATGAACTTTAGATTTCCCAAATCTTAGTTTTGGAGACATCTTCGAAAAGTAATTAGTTTTGCGATACGAGCTACAAACTTTTTTTCAAGCTGGACAAACTTTTTTCCCAAACACATGTTTTGGCCAGAGTCCTAAGAGTAGCAAGGTGTATCTTTCCCAGGTTTCATTTGTTTCGCCTATGTAATACACATCAAATTGCTACCGAATTTTTTCAACTTTCATTTTGCCCTCCTCGCCTTCAAATTAAAGTCCATCCAGAATATCTAATGCATCAGAACCAATACAGGTAAGTAGTCTTGTCGATCTGAAATCACCGGGTTCATCTTTGAGAGGGGGGTTGGATGGCCGAATAGTTAGCGCATGCGCGCTGTATCTTAAGGTCTGTCAGTGAGTCAATTGGAGTAGGGTTGCCTGTCTAACCTCGTTTTTTTTTTCTCAGGGTCCTCCAGTCCCCCCCCCCACACTGCTAATAAAATGGAACCATATGTTAGTCCCGAAATAACCTTGTGTCGAGTGGACGTTAAACCTCATTTTTCTCTGTCTCTCACTGTTATTGCTAAGACGTTTGAGTATCATTCTGACTGTTGATAACTTTGGTTAACTGATTCTGATGTTTTGTCGTGAATAATCAACAAGATAGGTTGTCAGGCAACGAAACATACGTCCACAGCAGCTAAGACAGGTCGTCCGAGCAACCAACAAGGGCTGTCGCATATTTTTTTTTCTTTTGTCAGTAATTTCCAAGGAACAGTTACTATGGCCATAATCTGATTATAAGTATTATCCTAGAGTATAAATAAAAGAAAATGATGAACAGAAAACCCCCGAAAATTGTCATGAGCCATCTAAAGACAATTACTGCAGCGGGACAAATTTAAATGTTTTGGCAGCTTTATCTACTCCCTAATGTCAAGCCGGGTATTTTTCTTGTATTTTTTATGTAGAAGTGTTACAGGATGTACAGCCGTTCAGTTATACTATGCATGAAATATGCCTGTTATTGTATCGAAAAATTTCCCTATTTTGAGAGATACATATTGATTATTTTCTTGCTATAATGAAATTTAAGAGTATCATCGTATATGAAGAATGAAAGTTTAAAACTTAGATGCCTTCAATGGTAAGTGCAGGAGGACTGCACTACTACACACAAAACAAAACCGACAAGACAAACATGCGGACAACACAAACTACATAGACATTGCAAGAAATAAACAAAAAATAAGAAATCAAGTGAATGGATTCGGGGGCCAGTCGTAAGCGCCCACTGTGCTGAACAGTCTCGGATCTGTAATGACACAGGATTCCCTCAAAATAAAAAAAGTGATTTGGAAGTAACACGTAACAGAAATAATGCGACCGATCTTGACTGTGGTCGTTTCTTGAATGGCGACAATCTGCCGGTTGACGTCATCAGTACAATAAGGCCGATAATCCGGAAATAATCTCGGAAAACGCTAAACAAAGCAATGTAGGTTGCCAGGAATCAGAACCCAGTTAATATAGACTTTAGTCAGAATTAGAACTATTTAGACACTAAATATCTCATATTTCTGTAACATATAGCGTGACTCTATACGTGTCTGGTTGCATGTTGCTAAAAAGACCAATGTAGGTTGCCAGGAATCAGAACCCAGTTAATATAGACTTTAGTCAGAATTAGAACTATTTAGACACTAAATATCTCATATTTATGTAACATATAGCGTGATTCTATACGTGTCTGGTTGCATATTAACCGATGGTAAAAAGTTTGGTTGCCAGTTAACTTTTAATAGTCTTGAATATGAATCTGTGGCATCTCTGTTTGAAGAGTTTAGATATTTTAAACTCCCCCAGCTTCCCATTTTAATAACAAACCCCACGAATATTTAACTTTTCTTGTCAACAAAGTGACCCCAAAATTTACAATTTATGGATAATGGCTGTAGACAAATGGCGTGAAAGTGAAAACCAAATAATAACTTTGCAGATTTAATATATTGGGTTCTCTTGAACCGGTAGCTGTAATAATGGATACACTTGACTACGTCAGAACTGTCAACACCAATCAACCTACACACAGGTAATAAAAGACCCCATTTCTGCTCATCGAACCAATCACCCGAAACAAGTCTGACGCCATCAAAACGCACCCAAAGCCAGGTTAGATGTGTGCTCCCGAGACACTTGAATCCAAAGACTTTTGTAATAACACCAACGTTAGCTTGTCAACTAGTAGGCCTACGTTGTTGTCTACTTGATCAGACCCCCCCCCCCCCCACACCCACACTCACACTCCATACTAGACCACCGCAACAAACCGCATAATGAAATTAAGTTCACCATGGGAACATAAAGATACAAAATTATTTCCTTTCTAGATGACACAGTCCGAAGAAACAACAAATCGCCCCGAACGTAAGTTTATAGGAAACAAACCAACAACAATCAGTGTCTCCATCACAAAAACAAACAGAGCAAGAAATACATCATCACGACACTCACTATATATGACCATGATCTCCTCCGGCAATGGATTCTAAAAAAAAAACCGTTACAACATTAACCTCAAACTGCTAATCAACGCCACAAAACTAGTCCATCACCTATCCGCGTCAGCTTACAATTCAATGGCAGCTCATCCAACCAAATCAGACGAGTATATAGTGGGGATAGCTTAAATAAGGCGGTTTTGGAGTCATTATTCATATTGAGGTCGAAAACTGTTGCCAGTTATATATTAATATTTGTCCATGGTTATAAAGGATACACGTTATTGATATTAGGCGGGAAATTCATCACTATCTTATACCACATCATAATTGAAAAGTGACACATAGGCTTTTGCGGTAATAGAAAAGAAAATGGGGATATCTATAGGCTATTGGCTATTTATGTTGCTACGGAATTTGCTATAGCGTGAACTGATATAAGGGAAGCAACTCTGAATTTTAAAACAATATCCTCTTCAATAAAGAAGGAGCAGTAAGTCGAAGGAAATTGTGTCCGACGAAGAACGTAAATAAAACAAAACGTACGTAACATAAATAGATTCCGTTCTTTATTTCAGTAATAACACAATCATATTAGAAGTTTTGAATTGGTATTAGATCATTTTATTCTAGTCTAGAAATAGTAAGTGGAAGAAGAGAAACGTTGGAAAATTGTTCAAAACAGTGTAAGCAGTGTGAGTGAATAGGCTATAGTACCAGTAGTGAGTAGTTCCTCTGAATCTAGTTTCAGTAGCGATGCCAACGAGTTTTGAAATACACGAAATGTCTCTAAAATGAATATTTCACTGCAAGTGTCAGCTATTTTGATTTAATTATAATCTGTAAGAATTTTGAAAAAATATTGAAAATTAAAAAAGTTATGGCATTTTGAAGATCGCGAATTGGAGACACTAAATTTAACTAAATTACAGCATTTTTTAAAAACGCAAAAAAACTGACCGAAACTAATATATTTCAGAGATTAGAAAAGGTAGATCTATGAAACTTGCAGACATTGACGTTCAAAATGTACCTGATTGAATCAAATTATCCTGAGACAGTTGAGTTATATAGTTTTTGTGATACAGACTCTCAAAGTTACGACCAAGACCATTTTCGTTCAAAGTCACATCAAAAAATTGAAATATAATATTTATTTCAATTAACACAAGCAATAACAGTTAAAATCTACAAAAATTAATAAAATATCTCTGACTCTGGTTATAAAATTATTTTTAAAAAAATCTACAACAATACCATGGTATAAAATTGCATACAATGCTAAATGTATCAATCTAACACAGGATGTTCATTTATTAAAACTAATAGATAGAAATTTTGAACGACACACTAAGAAAATGTGATCCCAATTTAGTGTCTACTGGTAAACTCATAGCTGTGTTTTTCTTTATTCAGTTTGAGTCATTTACTCATTCTATGTGTCTATGACAGTATGACTAGTCTGTGTCTACGGTTGTATGCCGCCTATAACTTGCCATGTTTTTATTTTTGAAAATTCAAATATTTTTCATACAGTATATTTTTTAACCAGGTGTGCCACTATTTTTTCATGTGTTCCAAGGTGTGCCATTGGTAAAAAAGGGTTGAGAACTACTGGTATGTCTTTGAACCGCAAAATTAGAACAGAGTGTGGTATGAACAGGAACGATCATAGGACAGTGTCTGATCATTGCTAAAGGAACTAACTACTCTCTGTAGGTATCAGTTGAGTTTGGCTCACACACCACAGACTTGTGGCATAACACTGAAAAGGGAATTCTTTTAAAACAACATTAAGCTGAGACTTAGTATTTAGAATTATGTTTAAAGGCCGTTATGTTCATATTCATATGAGCGTGATGATTAAATAACTCATCTGAGACCACTTCTGTGTGTCTTCTGTATCTCTATCACTAGTATCAGTATTAGTAGAAATATTCGAAAGCCAAGGGTGACACCTACATATGTTCTCTATAGGATTATATTACAATGAGCTTTGGCGATCCATAAATCAAACTTTTTTGACATCATTATTACAGTCACATAAAGATTGATGCATGACTTTCATTGTTCATTGGTTGGTCAATTTTTATACGCCCACATTGAAATGTTGTGTAAATTGTTGTCGCCCCCGTCCGTCCGTCCGGCGTCCACAATTGCTAAAGTTAATATCCGATTGACTTTAAATTTATACACAGTGTTTAAGGTCATGAGACGAGGAAGTCCAATGATTTTCAGCGATTTTCGATAATTACTGTTTGAGTTATGGCCCTTGATCACTTCAAAAAATCTTGTGGATGCTCTAGAGGTCAAAGTTAATATCCGATTGACTTTAGATTTATACACAGTGTTTAAGGTCATGAGACGAAGAATCCTATTGATTTTCAACAATTTTCGATAATTAGTGCCAGAGTTATGGCCCTTGATCACTTCAGAAAATCTTGTGGACGCTCTAGAGGTCAAAGTTAATATCCGATTGACTTTAAATTTATACACAGTTTATAATGTCATGAGCCTAATGATTTTCAGCGAATTTCGATAATTACTGCCAGAGTTATGGCCCTTGATCACTTTGAAAAATCTTGTGGACGCTCTAGAGGCTAAAGTTAGATTTATACACAGTGTTTAAGGTCATGAGACGAAGAATCCTATTGATTTTCAACAATTTTCGATAATTAGTGCCAGAGTTATGGCCCTTGATCACTTCAGAAAATCTTGTGGACGCTCTAGAGGTCAAAGTTAATATCCGATTGACTTTAAATTTATACACAGTTTATAATGTCATGAGACGGAGAAGCCTAATGATTTTCAGCGAATTTCGATAATTACTGCCAGAGTTATGGCCCTTGATCACTTTGAAAAATCTTGTGGACGCTCTGGAGGCTAAAGTTAGATTTATACACAGTGTTTAAGGTCATGAGACGAAGAATCCTATTGATTTTCAACAATTTTCGATAATTAGTGCCAGAGTTATGGCCCTTGATCACTTCAGAAAATCTTGTGGACGCTCTAGAGGTCAAAGTTAATATCCGATTGACTTTAAATTTATACACAGTTTATAAAGTCATGAGACGGAGAAGCCTAATGATTTTCAGCGAATTTCGATAATTACTGCCAGAGTTATGGCCCTTGATCACTTTGAAAAATCTTGTGGACGCTCTAGAGGCTAAAGTTAATATCCGATTGACCTTCTCATTTATACATAGTGTTTAAGGTCATGAGACAAAGAAGCCTATTGATTTTCAGTGATTTCCGATAATTACTGCCAGAGTTATGGCCCTTGATCACTTTGAAAAATCTTGTGGACGCTCTAGAGGCTAAAGTTAATATCCGATTGGCTTTAAATTGATACATAGTGTTTAAGATCATGAGACGAAGAAGATTATTGATTTTCAGCGATTTCTGATAATTTTTGCCAGAGTTATGGCCCTTGATCACTTCAGAAAATCTTGTGGACGCTCTAGAGGTCAAAGTTAATATCCGATTGACTTTAAATTTATACACAGTTTATAAAGTCATGAGACGAAGAAGCCTATTGATTTTCAGCGATTTTCGATAATTACTGCCAGAGTTATGGCCCTTGATCACTTTGAAAAATCTTGTGGACGCTCTAGAGGCTAAAGTTAGTATCCGATTGACTTTAAATTTATACATAGTGTTTAAGGTCATGAGACGAAGAAGCCTATTGATTTTCAGCGATTTCCGATAATTACTGCCAGAGTTATGGCCCTTGATCACTTTGAAAATTCTTGTGGACGCTCTAGAGGCTAAAGTTAATATCCGATTGACTTTAAATTTATATACAGTGTTGAAGACCATGAGATGAAGAAGCCTATTGATTTTCAGTGATTTCCGATAATTTTTGCCAGAGTTATGGCCCTTGATCAGTTTGAAAAATCTTGTGGACGTTCTAGAGGCTAAAGTTAATATCCAATTGACTTTAAATTTATACACAGTGTTTAAGGTCTTGAGACGAACAAGTATATTGATTTTCAATGAATCTTTATGACTTAAACAGCTAAATCCACGATTTAGCATGGGGCAGAACTTTATAAAAACCAAACAAATTCTAATGGTTTTCTGATAATTACTTAATGAGTTGTTACTCTTAATCCAAATTTTAATGTATTATAAATATTTCATTACGGACGATTTAGCTGCTGTGGGCGTATGTTTCGTTGCCTGGCAACCTATCTTTATAAGTTTTGGAACAATATGTTTCTTCAAAAAAAAGGGAATTTTGCATGGTTTTAAAGATATATTCCCACAAAACTATTTATTATAGGAAAGTTATTTCCAATAAAAGTATGATATATTTGGTATAAAGTAGAGGCACCCAATCTTATTAGAAAACTATTGGATTCCTTGAAAACGCCCATTGAGAGGGTTCACTTGCTGCATTGGGTAGTTTAAAAGGTTTTGAGAAGGATTTGAAGCAAAGTTTAGAATTTGATGGATAAATTAGTTTGAATCTGTACACAGGTAGGCAAAATAATTGTCTCTATTATGGAATATTGTCCCTTTAATTTTCAAATATATCATTTTTCTTTGATTTAAGTAACGATACTACAGAAAGAATCAGATCAACCTTAGTAAGAAAGAGTAATTTAAGATGGATGAACTACAGAAGTTAGAATATCTGTCTTTGGTTTCGAAAGTTTGTACCGAATTAGAAAATCATTTAGGAATAAATGACAAAGATTTAGGTAAGTTAGACAATATCTCCGAAAATTCAGACGTAAGAGAGAAGTTTATATTTTGCTTTATTTTGTCAGAGGATCACTGTGCTAAATGTTTACTCATGCTGTTTATAGGAATTCATTTACCCCTTGGAGATTATTGAATAGGAGATTTCTTAAAGATGCATTATGTAAGAGCTAAATCTGTCTTTTGGCGGTCTTTATTTTGGCTTCAAAAGTTATAAAAACTATTATTTAGACATTTATTCACATGACAAGCCTATAACCAACTCTCTAGATAGTTGGATTGCTTAAATTTTAAACGGATTAAATAACGGTCATGATTTAATTTAAAAATCGCAAAGTGAGGCCAAGTCTTGAATAACAAGCATACATGCCAACTATTTCGATTTTGTCGGAATCATTCCGATTTTCTGAGTCTAATTCTGAATTCCGATTTTACTCTTTATAATTCCGTTTTTTAAAATTTATTGGAAGAAATTTATTATATTTCATTACTGACCTATTTGATTGATAAAATCCCTCTCGTTTTATGTTTACATTGACGATTGTCTCGGCCTTCTCGCTGTTTGTTGTGAATCTGATGGCGATACTGTTTATCGTGGTATGAGTCGATAAAACAACGAAAATAGTCGAGAACATGTGTCATGTTTTCCTTATTATTATTAATATAAAATGGAATAAGCTATTATGTCTGGACTAATCAAGATCAAAATGTCATGTGGTTATTTCCGTCATTTGCCGTGTCTAATTTGCATAATTTGCGGTAAAACGACGGAAATAGCCGAAAACATGTCCCCAGTTTTCTCGATTATTATTAATATAAAATGGAATAAGCTAATATGTCTGGACTAATCGAGATTAAAATGTCATGTGGTTATTTCGTCATAGGCCGTGCCTAATTTGCATACTTCGCAGATATTATTTGTTATGCGGAGCCATTCTCGCATACACTCGTACAGTACACGGCGGGTTTACCGTTAGTTGCCATTAACGTTGTTGCTTCTTCCTTAGCCATATTTCCTTCTGACTTGATAAAAAATGTTCTCAAGCCGTTTTCCATGTGTGAAAAAACCAGATTACAATTATAAATAAAACCCAGTATAAATAATTTACGACTTCTACTTCCGTGTCGGTCGTCAAGACAAACAAAATGGCTTCCAAAACAAATGTCAGACAGAAATACCGGGAAACTTACAGCAAAGAATTTCCAGGAACCATTACGTCCTTGCGTAGAGGCGACGAATTCGCATTTTGTTTAGTCTGTAGGAGTGATTGATGTGTTGCTTACGGCGGTATTACGGACATTAAAAAACATTTTGAAACTAAAAAACACTTAAGCTGCTCAAACCTAAAAGCTTCTTACGAAAAATCTTCACTTAACAACAAATTTAGGTCATGCCTACATGTAAATGACCAAAAGCATATATGCATACTTTCGTATATAAATAGGTAAAAAAACCTCAGATGCATGGACCTAAATCACCAGCTGTTTTTATCCAATAATACAAGGTACTGCTTTAAATAGGTGCTAATTTCTCAAAATTTTCTTGGGGCCTCAAACCCCACGCCCTTCAAGCCTCCTGTGCTCGCGGTGCTTTGCACTGATTGAACTTGGACCTGCGGTCTTCGCTCTACCCTCAATACAAGGCATTCTGATTTTGAATCTCCTCAGGTTGGCATGTATGAACAAGTACCGTTTTTACAATAATAAACAACTATGCTACATCTTGTTAGAACTTCAAACGGTGATAACTTCAATCCAAATAAAGTAATTAGAATGAAATTTTCAATAGATATTGTTAATTTTGCATTGCCTATTTTTGAACAAGCAAGAATGACCAGCTATTTATGTAAATCTTACATAATGCATCTTTAATCTAATTTTGTCTTATATCTACATGATAAAATTAAAGATAATATTCTTATTATTTCAGCTGAATATGTGATTGATTTAGCTGAAAAAAACAACACATTTGATTCATTTAAGAAAGTTTTAGATGAACGAGAGGCTGAATTCTCAGTGAGTTTATAATGTTCTTCAAATATTTAATTTGTTTATTTTATTGGATTTTGGATTATGAAACATTACTTTTAAGACTTCATTAATTTGACTTTAGCTTCAATTATCTTCACGCGCGCGCTGTATCATACGGTCTGTCATTGAGTCAACTGGCAGGGTTTCGATTCCACGGTTGTACGTGACAAGGAGTTGGGTCGCCTGTCCATCCTCGTGGGTTTTCTCCGGGTCCTCCAGTTTCCTCCCACTGCTAAAGACCCCTTTGCGCAAGCGAGTTATTGAAATAAAATTGAACCATGTGTTAGTCCCGAAATTACCTAGTTTATGTCGAGTGGACGTTAAACCCCATTTCTCTCTCTCTCTTTCAATTATCTTGGGAGATAGATTTGAAAATTTTATAAAAAAACATTGCTTTGGAGATATAAGTATATATTTGTTTATCAAGACCCCAAGGAACTCAAAATTAAATTAGTTTGATCTGGTCTGTGACTATTTACTTTTGTAACACATTTTAAGAGACTCTGTTTTAATTTCAGGATTCCTTAATTGCTAATCTCTTAAGACTTATTAATAAAATGAAACCTAAAAGAAAAATACAAGAAGAAGACGAAAAGGGATTTGAAGAAAAGGAAAAGGAAATAGAATCCGAAGAAAAAATACTAAGAAAGAAAATGTTTCCTGGCTTAGCTATGCCAAATAATCCAGAAGTTAGGGTAAGTAAATAATTGGCAGGAACTAGTTTTATTAAAGCATCAATCTGCCAGAAGGCTAATTGTCATTCTCCTTATTTTAATGTAACAAAATCAAGGTCTGAAATATGAACTTTAGATAGTCATCTAGATGATTAAATAAAAAAAATACCTTATAAATGTCACCTTGACTGTGAAGTTATGGATAAAAATGAGCAATTCGTCAGTAGCTAAAGATGACAAAGATAACATCTTGAAATCAATAGAAGGAAATGGGAACCATACATGGTAATAATTTGCGTTAGGATTGATCAATTGTAATAAAAATTAAGAATTCTTGTTAATGTGTATGGACAGAAGAACCCTATTGATTTCCAATATTTACTGACAGGGTTATTGTTCTTGAATAATTTGATAAATTGTGGTGAATAAACATTTATACATTGCGTTTATGTTTATGAAACAAATACGTGTATGCATGTGTGAGTTGAAATTTTTACACAGTGTTTATGATCATGAGATGAAAAAAACTACCAGTATTACTTAATTGTATGCTTTGGTTAAGTTAGTCCTAGGAAGAAACCTATGAAATCCTAATTATTTCTGATAATTGCTTTTTGGGAACTTGTTGGCCTTGAACAGCTTTCTCTGTCTTATAAATGCACCTGTGACAAATATTATGGACCGAGCGGATGACTTGCCTGTTGTGGGCGTATATTTCATTGCCTGGCTTTCTGTCTATCTATTATCATGAATATGTTCTTTGTCTATAAATTGTATTGTAGTGAGAAATCAAATAATTATACAGATTTTTACATCTTTGTATTTCAATGATTTTTGTTTGTTTGATGAGTTTTGATGTTAATTCATTGCATTATGTTTTGTAGGATATGTTGGCTGATGAATTAAAGCAAGAAAAAGATGAAGGTGAAAGTAAAGATAAGGATGCTAAAGTAGCAGCTGATATGTTAGGGGAATTAGAGGCACTTATGTCATCAGCTAAATCTTCTAGTCATAAGTAAGTTTGTTAGAAGATTTCTTGATCAGCTAGTAATCTAGACATACATAAATTATTAGATAATGCCGAAAATCATCAGCTAAATCATCCAGTCATAAGCAATTTATTAGAAAAAAATCATTGCCATTTGGTGATTCATCTAGTAATAGTTAGGTTCTTAGTAAATGCTAAATGTCAACACCTAATAGGAAGTGCAGGAAAACTGCAACACACAAAAACAAAACCCTACATACACACTGAAAGCAATAAACAAAAAGAATACATACATATTAAATCAAGTAAATGGTTCCAAGAGCCAGTCGTAAACTTCCATTGCGATGTAGAGTCCTGGTCCACTAACGATACAAACTTCACTCAAAATTAAAACAAACTCACAATAAAAAAGACCTCAGCAATGAATACAAGAAAGACAATAGTAAATATGTGTCTGGTTGGGTGGGGGGGGACTTCTGCTGGTACTGAATAACATTTTTTGAGTAATTAAGTTTATTTGAATATTCTTATTTTCATCTGCTAAAAAATGCTTAGTCTTCAGCAGTTTCCCCCATTTTTTTCAAATTCCTTCAACTGCTATAGCGCCATTTTTGGAAGCAAATTCATTAAATAAAAATATACCTTATGTTTTGGTAGCAGAAGTTGACATGTTTGTTTTTATTTAAGATCTTCACATAAAGATAAAAAGCGTGACAGAAGTAGAAGTAGAGACAGAGACAGAAAAAAGAAGTAGGTGTAATATCAATTTGATTCAAATTATTTTTTTTATTTCCTTGTGTGTTTTTTGATTGACTAATCTATGTACTTTGTTACCACTGTAATGTGCTGTTTGATAGGAGTGCACCATAGCAATTTCCATTGATAAAAAATTGACAAGATAATTTTGTATTGATTTAATTTCAATAATGACATTGATCTGTTATCCTACCTGACATTTGAATCCAAATGTAAAATTTTATGTTATATTTAAATTGTTGGTATCTTTCAGAAAGCATCGGTCTAGAAGCAGATCTCGGGAGCGCAGACGAAGTAGAAGTAGGTCACGTGATAGACATAGATCTCGAAGTGATTCCAGGGAAAGGCGTAAGAACAGAAACAGATCACGAAGTAGGAGTAAAGATAGAAAACATCGAGATAGAGGAAAGGACAGAAAACGAGAGAAATATAATGATATTCCTATGGACCCTGTGGTTGGCCAGGTAAAACATGAAATGTTCTGTGGTGATGACGGCCCTACACTAACCAATCATATGTCAATTGTTAAAACATTGGTAGTAGTCTTTTATAGTGGAAAGTCTGAATCTGCTTCATAATTAGTTGTCCAATTAAGATTTGAGATATATATCAACCAAGCTTTTAAAGGTGTAAGTCAATTACCATTATACACAATTGCCGTTGTTTTGTCCAGACTAATATTCATTGTAGTCGAATCAGTGACAGTAAAGGCTGGAATGATCGAATCTGCAAAGCCATCAAAATAAATCACAGATTAGTAGATTTTGATAAGAATTTTTTCCTGTATTCATGGAACTCTAATTGTAACCAAGATGCAATATAAATGGAAAACTTTACTACAATATAATTTAAAACTTGATCTCAATATTCTTTATCTGAAAATTAGGGTTTCAAAATTACCTCCTTTCAGAAAACAGTTTTGAAGATTATGAGTCTAAGGTAACTTTGAATATAATATTAAATGAATTCCCCTTTAAGTTCATTTCAATACTGATGTTTCCACAGATATATAATGGTAAAGTGATGACTATCATGCAGTTTGGATGTTTCGTTTTATTGGAAGGGTTGAGAAAGAAGCATGAAGGTTTAGTTCATATTTCACAGGTAATTATACATATATTTGTGACTGTCATTTGTTTGTTTGTCTGTCTGTTCAGGGTTGATGGCTACACTTGAGCTGACCCGTGGCTGAGATTTGGTGTATAGGGGTAGCTCGGACCGGGGAGAAACATGGGCCTGGTGGCGATGGACTTCCATATCCGGTTTCAGAGTTATGCTACTTCCAGCTCATAGCTATACCCATGGTACACCGGGTCAACCAATCAATGAGTAAGATGTTTGCTCACTAACCAGGGGGTCTCAGGTTCGAGCCAAAAATTTTCTCAGAATTTTCCTGTGTGGTTTCCTCTTTTCAGCAGTGCACGACAAGAAAAACTGAGGTATCATGTGCACGTTGATGTACTCTTGACAGTTGGAATTCAACATAAGAGTAGTGTAGCAGAATTTCCCCCATAGCACACTTTATTACATGCCCATATTCATTAACCCAGTTGGTGCAGGAAAGTAGGACGTTAAATCCCATTTTATTTTATTTCAGGTTCACTGGATATTTTTGATTCTCTGTGGTCGGTTCACATTTGTATTTTTGATTCTCTATATGTTTTTTTTTTTCATTGAGTCAAGTTGCACGATCTCAATCCAAGGTTTGTTCTTGACAAGGAGCAGGATCATTTGTTTACTCTCAAGGGTTTTCTCTGTGTCCTCCAGTTTTGTCTGACATGTCAACAACAATGTGCCTAAGATAATTATTGAATTAAAGATAAACCGTATGTTATCTAGGGTTGTTTTTGACTGGATGTTTAATCATGTATTTAAACTTTATTTTTAAAAACAACATTTATTTATAGTTGCGACGAGAGGGAAGAGTGACAAATGTCAGCGAGGTCGTGACAAGAGGTCAAAAGGTCAAAGTTAAAGTGAATTCATTTACTGGAAATAAAACCAGTCTATCAATGAAGGTAAATATTTATGGTTTGTTCTTTTATGGGAGTTGGTTGTGAGGAGATGTGCTGCCAATGACTAGTATATCTATGTAGGCTGTTTATTTGACCACTGGTAAGGTCACATGGTTAACCATACAGCTTTTCTTCTGATTGTTTAGTTACTGCCCATTGTTAAAAGAACCTTAAAGAAATAAAGATGTATACGCAATGTTAGCAGCTCCAGTATTTCAGATACAGCAAAAAAAAAAAACACCCACTAATTATTTCTGTTTCTCCAGCACTTAATGGCAAAAATAAACCAAATTTGCTGAAAATAATTGTTATGGGGAACACCAATCCAAAACACAATATCTCTGACAAGTTTTGAAGATAATTGCATACTATTTATACATTTTTAAATACAAAATTTAAATGTATGCATATAAGTGTTTTGATTTTTTTCAGGTGTCTCATTTAGCCAGTACTGGTGACACATAACGAGGAATAACCGAGGTTTCTTTGAGTGGTTGTTATACCTACATTGTGTTTATACATTTATTTATCTGGCTATTGTTTTATATAATATAATTCAGGATGTTGATCAAGAAACTGGAGAAGATTTGAATCCAGAAAGAACAAAGGGTGGTGGGGGAGCAGACGGAAGGGGAGATGACATGGCACGTAATCCAGATCGCCCTTCCATGTTACCTCTAGTTGATGCTCCTGAACAGGATAATCTGAATTCTGGTCAGAAGAAATTCAAACGTATCTCATCACCTGAACGATGGGAATTAAAACAGATGTTAGCAGCCAACTGTATAGATAAATCAGAGTTACCCGACTTTGATGAAGAAATGGGATTATTACCTCGAGAAGATGATTCAGGTATTTAATTGTTTCTATATTGACAGGTTCCTTTATTTAGAAAACAATGCAGAATAACTGCCTAATAATAAATAGACACAATGAACGATTATCCAAAACACTTGTGTTTCAAGATTGATGCATGGGATATCTGGTAACATCTGAACATAAGATAGATGTCCTGTTGTGTGAAGATTTTTCACAATAGTAAACATGCCTGTATCCCCTTGGCTAAATGATGTGCAGTCTGAATACACCACTACCCATTCAAATTTATATTTTCCAACCCAAAGAATGTGCCAACAGCATTTTACAAGTTTGCAAGCAGGAAATATGACCATTAAAAAGATAGTAAATATACAACAAAAAACAACTTGACTTCATTATAAAAGATATAAACCACAGAAATTTAAGTTTTTCTATAAGAAGCAAATTGCTGCTGTCAATTTTGAAATAGGAATCAAATAATATAAACAACTTGAGTTTTTATATTTTTGATCTTTAAAAATTAATAAATTGATAAATTAAACCCGAAACATAAAATTCTATTCTCTTTTTTGTAGATGAAGATATTGAAGTAGAAATCAATGAAGAAGAGGCTCCATTTTTATCTGGGGCTGGTCGTCAGCTTGTTGATCTCAGTCCTGTTAAAATAGTCAAGGTATGAAATGTTACAGTCACTTGGATTTGCTACAATGATACCCACCCATAACTTATCATTTCACACCCACTAGACAGTACACAAACCAAATTGAATTATTATTTCTTGTAATCTAAAGTTGAGGCTTGATAAAAATTACTTGTATTACAGAATCCTGATGGGTCATTAGCTCAGTCAGCTATGATGCAAAGTGCTCTTCAGAAGGAGAGAAGAGAAATGAAACAAGCTCAAAGAGAAGCTGAAATGGACACAGTACCTGCAGGACTCAACAATCACTGGATTGATCCCATGCCAGAAAGTAAGTTTTATATTCTTGTAAAAATTGTGATAAACAACAAATATTAAACAGAGAAAAAAACCATCTCTGTTGATTTTTAAAGAAATATTTTGTGATACTTATATAACCATTGACAACATATCACAGCTATGGGGGAAATATGTTTGTTACCAAAAACATAATATCTTCCAAAATACTACAATGGGAACTTTATGTAAGTGAGAGATATTAACATAATCACTTTATGTATTACAGTGGTTCATACTGTGTAATATTATATTTAGTAATTGGCAGTGTTGATATAATAATACACTTCTTTCATTTTGTTTCAAAAAGCCCTAGCTTCTGAAATGCAAGTCCAAACTATTCTGGGTGGTGATGGGTGCAGAAGGCAGGTATGCTTTCTGGAACACCTGGCACTACTGTAGAAACTGTTAATTATTGTTGTGTACTTTTGTACTTACACTATTTGAACTATTTATTGCTTGTCTTCAGCTGATTCCAGACAACTAGCAGCTAATATGAGAGGTGTTGGTATGGCACCACAAGAAGTACCAGACTGGAAGAAACATATAACAGGGGGACCTAAAGCTTCTTATGGTAAAAAGGAGAAGAAATCAATTATAGAACAGAGACAGTCGTTGCCTATTTATAAACTTAAAGATGAACTTATTAAGGTATGAAAACTTTCTATATTACTGTCAGTGTCATTGGTAGCTGACTAATGGTTAAGACCTTCAGATTTATACTGGAATTCTGAAGTTTGAGACAGTGGTCACCAGTTACAAAATTAGAAAGTTGCTTAATACAGATATAATAGGAGTTTGCTCTGAGCTGGTTTTCTGATACCTTTTGGTTCATTAAATCTGTTTTTTAGCATGACTGGCTAAAATAAATGATGACCCAAATAGTCTAAATGGATCATAGTCTTCAGCACTGTGTTCGATTAAACTACTAGATGATGGTAGTATAGCAGAATCTCTTTACCTCGCTTTTCTCACAACTTGCCATTTTAATAGAGAGGAATGATAAACTTTTTGCCTGACATCGGGTACATATTGTTTAACAAGGGCATCCTACACTGTAACCTGGGTATCATTTATTCTTGTGTATTTAGCATTAATTTCGTTAACATTTAGTCTGCTGACCACTGTTAAAAATTTAATGATTATACATCAATAATCAATTGGGTTGTTTATTTTTGAACAGTGATTGAGAAATTAAACACTTGTAAATTGGATGCTCATTAACAAAATTGAATGGTCAGCTTTAAACTGAGCACAAGTACAAATTAGATGATTTTTTGGTGATTTTTAATGATTTTTACAAATTTTCAAACAAAGTTTTGATATTTTTTGAAATGTTAAAAGAAATTAATGCTAAATATACAAGATTAAATGATATGCTGGTTATAGTGCTAATCATTACATTGTATTTCTGTTACAGATTACTTGATTTGTAACATGTGGTGCTCCATGGGATTACATTGTAAAGAAGTAAGACAATGTTACTATAGTTGTTATATTATATTACAGGCTGTTAATGATAATCAGATATTGATTGTAATTGGTGAAACTGGTTCTGGTAAAACAACACAAATAACACAGTTTTTAGCTGAAGCTGGTTATACAACACGAGGAAAGATTGGTTGTACACAACCTAGAAGAGTGGCAGCCATGTCAGTAGCTAAAAGAGTAGCAGAAGAATTTGGTTGTCGATTAGGACAGGAAGTAAGTTGATGTAGTCTACTTTCATTTTTTTGGGAAATAAACTTTTGATAGATGTGTTCATTCTATTTGTATCAAAAACATTTCCTATCATTTCATTCATTTGAATTCAAGTAAGCAAGGGACAGTTATATTTGTCATACTCAAATTTTTAAAAAATTCCAGGAATATTCAAATATTTTCTACTGATCTATTAAAATTAGGATTTTTTTTCTGCTGAAAATGGATTTTAGAATATGTATCCTGTCTGTATTACAATATATTGCAAAATGATTTAGGGTCGCAATGCACAGCCCTAAAAGCAAACCATAATAATGAAGTTTTCCACTATGACACTTCAATCATATTCTTTACTTTATTTAGGTTGGTTATACTATACGTTTTGAAGATTGTACTGGACCAGAAACTAAGATCAAATACATGACAGATGGTATGTTATTAAGAGAATGTTTAATAGATGGAGATTTAATGTCATATTCTATTATTATGTTGGATGAAGCTCACGAGAGAACAATACATACAGATGTTCTCTTTGGTTTACTTAAAGCTGTAAGTATAATTTATTTAAAAATAAACTAAATACATCAGAATTGGAAGAATAATTTTCCAAATTGGACTAAATTTTGACTGATTGGACTAAATGTAATTATCTAATCGTATTATTTAAATGAATGGAATGAAATTTATTGGCTATCAGAACTTCTCTAATTAAAGAGTTGTGATATCAACTATTCTAGAAAGAGTAACCCCTACCCTACCTTGTGCATGACTACCATCACTTCTTGCAGGTAATTATAGTGATAGTTTCTCATTAGTTCTTAAAAAGCTGATCTGTGCAGTATTTCTAGTTGCTAAAAGTTGAGGTGAAGATGGGTTGGTGAATTTGTAAACCCTCCTGTACACCAAATTTATTGTGCTGTATCCTAAGACTGACCTCAAAGTTTGTTATATTTTATATTAAAATGAATGTTTTATTTTAAATCTACAGGCTGTGAAGAAAAGACCAGATCTAAAATTAATTGTAACATCAGCTACACTAGATGCTGTTAAATTCTCACAATATTTCTTTGAGGCTGTAAGTATATTACATTCTTAATTTGTTTTTGTTTTTATAAAACAGACACTTCCTTGGAATGGGAAATTTTATTGAGGATTCTTTTCATTCACCATATTAGGTTTTTTTTATGATCCCTGGGGTAAAATTTAGCAGTCCATCACTATCTTTAATAGTATTTCTGGCATTAAAATATTTTTTTGGGAATACATGTACAAATGTTTTATGCTTCAGCCTATATTTAGAATTGTTATTATGTAATTGTAATTATGTTTATTTGGACCTATATTAACAATTATTATCAATTTGTCATTTTGTATATTTCAGCATGTATTTACAATTACAATTGTGTACATTTCAGCCTATATTTAATTGTAATAATGTATGTCTATTTCAGCCTATATTTACAATACCTGGTCGTACATATCCTGTAGAGGTTTTATATACAAAGGAATCAGAAACAGACTATTTAGATGCTTCACTTATTACTGTTATGCAAATACATTTAACAGAACCACCAGGTGGGTACAGGTGTTAAAATTTATATAGACAAACCAGGAAATATCACTGTGGGTTGGTTTCTGGGTTTTGGGAGGGGAGGGGCATTCACTGTAACCCAGGTATCGTTTAATCTTGTGTATCTAGCACTAATTTCTTTCACATTCGTTTAATATCCAATCTTTGTTTAAAAATTTGTAAAAACTGTTTAAAATCACCATAAATCGTTTAGTTTGTACTTCTGTCCAGTATGGCTATTGGCTAAGGGAAGTGTGTAGTTGATTGGATGGAACCCATGGCATTTGGAATTTGGGGAAGAATAGACAGAAGCGCCACTGTGAAGACAAAATTCCCTCATGGAACACAACCCATTTGGTGCAGTAGAGTAGGATGTTAGGTTCAAATTCAGAAATGGTCCAGGAAAGTTAAATAAGTTCACCTGTTAAAAAACATTTGGCGTTTCAAACGTCAACTTATGAGGATGTGGCCATATTGCTGAGGGTTAAATCCCAATCCAATCTGTCACTAGGCTATTTCTAACAAAGATAACCTAATTCCATTCTAATCTAGTAATTTGTGCAGTATGTAATAATTCCTTGTTGCAGGTGATATTTTACTATTTTTAACTGGTCAAGAAGAGATTGACTCGGCATGTGAGATATTGTACGAGAGAATGAAAGCGCTGGGAGCAGAAGTACCAGAATTAATTATTTTACCTGTTTACAGTGCTTTACCTAGTGACATGCAGACACGTATCTTTGATCCTGCACCTCCTGGATCTAGAAAGGTAAATACAGTAGAATTAATTTTAAACCATATTTATGATGAAGTTTTTTTGTTGTTTTTTTTTTGCTCCAAAAATTATAAATGGGGAGCATAGCATACCTAATCCTGTGGATTGCCTCCTCTTGGCGGGTAATGAGCCCTGCATGCATATTACTGGAATTGTAAAAAAGAGAATTTTCAAAGACTTATTATGAATATTTTTAAATTGTCTATTATTATTATAGGTTGTTATAGCTACTAATATAGCTGAAACATCGCTAACTATAGATGGTATATACTATGTAGTAGATCCAGGGTTTGTTAAACAGAAAGTTTATAATTCTAAAACAGGAATGGATCAGTTGATTGTTACACCTATATCACAGGTAAATATAACACTAATCATTATTGTGTTTTATAGAAGGGAATCTTCTTTCAGTTATGATCACAATCTCCATTTTTGTTATTTTGATTGGTGGCTCAGTGGGTGAAACACTGGCTTGCTAGTCTAAAAGTGTTTGGTTCGCTCCCTGTGTTGGCTGAGAAATTTCCTCAGGATTTTCCAGTGTGGTTTCCCCTTGTCAGTGGTGCATGATGGAGGATAGCTATCTGGTCAGTCGGATTGTACATAAACCAGAGGTCCTGTGTACCCATTGGCATGCACATAAAAAAACCTTTGCATTTGGAATTCGATATAGGAATAGGCTGTATTGCAAAATTTCCCTCATAGTACACTGCATTCCGTATGCTCATTTTCATTAGCCCAATCAGAGCAGAACAAACCCTATTTCATTTTATTTCTGTATTTTGATCGTGAATTAGAGCCACTATGTTTCAATGGTTAATATGTCTCTGTTGAAAACAATTATTGATAACAAAATGATCAACGATTTGGAAGTAATGGCCGAATAAAGATTCATTTTCTGTATTATCATAACTTTTGGATGACAAAGACAAGGAAAGGAGTGATTGCTGGCTTATTTATATAATCTACAGATGATGCCAAATGTTAGGAAACTTTAAATTCATTATGTCTTTGTAAATACCGAACCAATTTTTGACAATTATTCCTTTTAGAAGTGGCCGAATGGTAAACGCTGTGCGTTGCATCATAAAGTCAGTCAAGGGTCACCTGTCAAACCTCGTTGGTTTTCTCTGGGTCCTCTGGTTTCCTGCTGCTGTTAAAGACCACTACGCGCAAGTGAATTATGAAATAAAATTGAACCATATGTTAGTCTCTCTCATTTTAGAAATCCATCTTTCTCAATATTGCAGTTTGCAACGTATTCAAAGTTGTTCAAATGACCGTCAGCAGTTTCATGGCTTCTTAAAGATGTCTTAAATCTATAAATTATTATTTTCTAGGCACAAGCTAAACAGAGAGCTGGTCGTGCTGGTAGAACAGGACCTGGTAAAACATATCGTCTTTATACAGAGAGAGCTTATCGTGATGAGATGTTGGCTACTAACGTACCTGAGATACAGAGAACTAATTTAGCTAGTACTGTGTTGTCACTTAAAGCTATGGGTATCAATGATCTTCTCATGTTCGATTTTATGGACGCCCCACCGATGCAGACATTAATATCAGCTATGGAACAACTTCATGCTTTGAGTGCACTGGATGACGAAGGCTTATTGACAAGACTTGGTCGTAGGGTAAATTTTAACATTTTGTTAATTCGGCTCTCTCATTCAATGCTTATTCAAGATAAACAGTATATTTTCTAGACATGGGTGAAATTCAACCCAATAACAAATAAGTTACATTTTGACTTGTATAATAAACGCACCGATTCACACTCCTACCTTTTTTACACAGCGTGCCACCCAGTCTACATCATTACGAAAGTTTAGAGATAGACCATGAAAGACATAGTCAAAACCTTCTCAATTTTTATCTTAAAAGGGGCTATCCACTCAAAATAGTGACAGCCAATAAAAACAGGACAAAAACTACTGCAGCCATTTTAAATAAACGAAGGTTGCTCGTTTTCATCAGAGATTACAATCCCACTGCTGTTCATGTTAGTAAGCTCATCATGGAGAAATGGCATCTATTAACCGGGTCAGAATTGTACCATACCATCTCAGATATTAAATCTATCACAGCATTTAGAAGAAACCTAATCTAAAAGACACATTAATGATATGATATCTGCATTCTATTAGTGGTAAAACTGGCAAGAAATTGTCTTGCTGAAATGGTTATAATTGTCTAAGTAGAAATATAGTCAACTTATTAACTTGTTCTCTCTGTAAAAATAATATGTGGGAGAAAGCAAACATGCCTTCTCAAAAAGAATAAAGGAACACTATGCAGACATTAAACATAATGGGCCAAAACAGGCCGCAGTACTTTTCATCTTGAAAGGACATACGAGAAGAAATGTTATGATTAAAATGGATTCAGACTTTAAGAACATTCACACCGGATGGCATTAACGATAAGATATAGTACCGAAGGGTCACCCTTCTTGTTGTTTACTCTTATACAAGTTAACAAAAATAAATACTTAAAGCTGAACTCCGATTACAAAACTACAGAAATAATTAAATAAAAAAATTAACACCTTAAATAATCGCCATACTTGTTTTCAAGTTGTAGAACAATCATGGACGATTGTGCGGTGTACAAAAACAAGAGACAGGCCACGCCCACACCCAGTTCATGCCTTGTCAACCACACTGTCCACATCCGGCTAGCAATATTTCAGCTGACTGATTGACGTTTTTTCACTATCAGTTTACTGAAAATATTATTGCTACACAATTATTATGTCTCATCAGGTACATATTATTTTACTAATTAGACGAAATAAGTAAATCACAGTGTACTTTTGCTCTAAAAAATATGAGAAAAACTGCCTTACCCAAAACAATAACAAATCTACCAACACAAACAATTTTTTTCTTATTTCTTGAAATGTTTTGTACAACAGCGTGGAAACACCAACTAATTTCTAGTATTATAAAGTCTAGTATTATCGTTCCAAAATATATCCACAGCAGCAATAAAACTGTTGTTCTCTCCATCAAAGAAGTATGTTTTCACTTCAAAATATTCACTATCTTGTGAAGTAGTTATGTCCCTTGATGTTATGTCAACAACATAGAATTGGTTGGTGTTGTTGGTAGATTTGTTATTGTTTTAGGGTAAGACAGTTGTTTCTTATATTTAGAGCAAAAGTACACAGTGGTTTACTTATTTCGTCTAATTAGTAAAATAATATGTACCTGATCAGATATAATAATTAGGTAGCAATAATACTTTTTGTAAACTGTTAGTGAAAAAACGCCAATCAGTCAGGAGGTAATTTGTAGTTGAAATATTGCTAGCCGGATGTGGACAGTGTGGTTGACAAGTCGTGAACTGGATGTGGGCGTGTCCTGCCTCTTGTTTTTGTACGCCGCACAATCGTCCATGATTGTTCTACAACTTGAAAACAAGTATGGCGATTATTAAGGGTGTTAATTTTTTTTATTTGATTATTTCTGTAGTTTTGTAATCAGAGTTCAGCTTTAACTTTAACTTTATTGATAACATCATTAACATGTAATACAGATAAAGGCAACCAATTATAATGTTTAAAAAATCTTTAATTTCTGTTAATGCTCCCCTACTTGTTCCTACTCTGTCCACTCCACCTAGCAGTAGTATAAACAATGATGTATTCTATCATCAAAACATTTTTATTTTAACATATGTTTTATTATTTTAGATGGCAGAGTTTCCATTAGAACCTATGTTATCTAAGATGTTGATTATGTCCGTACATCTGGGCTGTAGTGATGAAATTCTAACCATAGTTTCTATGTTATCTGTTCAAAATGTCTTTTACAGACCAAAGGTAAGAAACAAACTTACAAGAATAGTCTTCATGTAGTGAATTAAGATGACACATTACAAATTACCCAGAACTATTATCTATGCTTTCTCTAGGAACATTGGGCTTAGATTCATCAGTTAACAGATACTAGTACCGAGTATACTGGGAATTTTGTATGGCATACGCTTTACATGTCCTAATTTGAAGAGTACAAATATATATTATTATTTGACAAAAATGTTTTAAGAATATGGGTACCCAGAAAATCTCTAGTCAATAGATAAAACAAAATATTTACATTTTTTGCTCTAATTTCAGGAGAAACAAGCTACTGCAGATCAGAAAAAAGCAAAATTTCACCAGATGGAAGGAGATCATTTAACTCTACTTTCAGTTTATAACTCTTGGAAGAATAACCGATTCTCTAGTCCATGGTGTTATGAAAACTTTGTTCAGATTCGAACATTAAAACGAGCACAAGATGTACGTAAGCAGATGTTGGGTATTATGGACAGGTAAGTCTGTAATAATTGACAATATTTAAGAACATAAAATTCTGGTTTTGAAACAAAAAACCCAAAACAGCATCTACATACTGCTATAACTGAAAATTTCATATAAAGGTTATATTTGGTTGCAATAATCGGAAACGAAGCATACACCCACATCAGCTAAGTCATCGCAGCAGTCCACAAAGGTTGTTACAATATTAGTCATTGTTGCATCTATAGCTCATCATTTCTGCTCTGTGTGCACGTAAGAACTGTCTTAACACTGGAATCTTTTCTTGAAATTGTGTGTCTTAAGCAAAGTTTTGTACTTCAGTACAGTTTATAAACCAATACCAGTAGTATCTGGTTTTTAGCTTAGAGGTCATAATTTTTATCCGATTTTGATGAAACTTAAAGTATATATTTATATCCCAAAGATCTTGATTCTACTTGATATTGGCATGTATCAAACCATAACTCAAGAGGTCACAGTTTTTATCTGAATTTGATGGGCATACCTTGCACGACAACCGCATTTTCTTGAATTGCTTCCCTTACTGTTAGTTTGTTTTTCATTTTGAGTGAAGTCTATATAACAGACCTCAGACTGTACAGTGCAGTGGACACTTACGGCTGGCCTCTGGATCAACTTGAATTGATATTTGTTGTTTATTTCTTGTAATGTCTGTGCAGTTTGTCTTGTCCACAGGTTTGTCTTATTGGTTTTGTTTTGTGTGTTGTGCAGTTCTCCTGCACTTACTAATAGGAGCTAAATGTATTGCCTAAATGTAAGCCTGTTCTAGTTTGAATTTCTGTTTAGTATGTAATAGGTTTTTTTAAAGTAATATTTCATGGTATATTTTCTTTTCAACATCAGTATATTATTGAAAATCTTACTACTCATAATAAACAGATCTATTGCCACCTAATCTACTGAAGTAAAAATAGTAAAGTGCTCATCCAGATAACATAGTATGAATCCAAATAACATAGTATAACAAGTAGGGGGTTGGATGGCCGAATGGTTAGCATGTGCGCACGGTATCATAAGGTCTGTCATTGGGTCAACTGGCATGGTTTCAATTCCCTGCTTGTATGTGACAAGCAGTAGGGTCGCCTGTCCATCGTCGAGGGTTTCCTCTGGGTTCTTCGGTTTCCTCCCACTGCTAAAGACACATACGCGCAAGCGAATTATTGAAATAAAATCAAACCATATGTTAGTCCCGAAATGACCTAGTTTGTGTTGAGTGGATGTTATACTCCATCTCTCTCTCTCTCTCTTTCTTTCTCTCTCTCTAATCCAAATAACATAGTATATCAAGTGCTAATCAAAATAACATTGTATATCAAGCCAAATGACAATATGAAACTTAATTTGGGTTATATTACAGAAGTCCTATGACTTTAAGTTATCACTGGTCAAGTTGAAATATTATTAACAGCATTTGATTTTCTTCCAAACAACTTTTTTATTTCTGTTCGACAGTCCTTGATTCTCCATAAATAAGCAATAGGATTTAGAAAACTATTCAGTGAAAGAAGGATAAGGACGACGGCACGAATACTTTGATCATATGGAATGAGTAGAAATTCATCTGTTATACTTATATAGAAAAATATACTGGCTATCGGTAGGTAACAGAGAACAAACGCTAACAGAAGAATAGCTATAGTAATCGTTGTCTTTCTTTCGCTACTAGCTGTAGTTATAGAACTGCTAGTTGCTCCATCCTGGAGTACCACTGTAACGGAAATTATTATTCTAAGATGTCGACGAACTGCCATATAGATGTATAAGTACATTCCCAACATTCCAAAAATGGCTGTTAAATACATCATCGACATAGAACGACACAGTCTTAAGCTACCACAAGCAATATAGTCACACGAATATATGCCACCAAATCCATCCATATAATAGAAAAAAACAATTGCAAGTGAAATGGGCAAGATTAATATCTTGCAAATTAAAACTTTTTTCCATGTTACCACTGATCTAAAAAGAAATGGAAACCTTAAGGCGAGAAATCGCTCAACAGTTATCATCACTGCTACAAATAAAGCCAATAATGTACATAATAATCCAGAGGCAACACGGTAAATGCAGAAATTATCAGTATACAGAATTTTAGACGGTATCAGACTTATTTGTATGCCAGTGGTTCCAATGAAAATACCAGAAATTACAAATCCTGAATAACAAACTTTTAAACGTGGTATAATAGATTTAGTTTTGAGTATTGCTACCCAGGACACAGCATTCAATACAGCAGTGGTCAATCCAATCACACCTGTCAATGTTTTTGTTGAGATTTGCACATTTTCTAATATATCTTGCAATTCTGATATGTTGAAATTACTTTGATTTCTATAAAGTTCCATTTTGATCCACTAAATTATATGAAATGTTTTACTTCTGATGTTGGATGTAAAATGAATATAGATTTCTCTTTGCAATCTGTCAGCTCATCAGGTAATCAGGTACTAATAGGTAGATATTCAGATAATAATGATGGTAAACATTATGGATTATTTTCTATCCGGATTATTGTCTTTGACTTAATTATATGATCCTATTTAAGACCTCTATGTAATTAGTGTAATAATTTGTTGACTTTTAGTGTATTATATATGTAGAGTAGATAAGATAAGATAAGATTTTATTGTATCAAGACATCCATTAAGGACAGCATACAATATGAACATGTATATAAAGATATAGTATAACAGATAATAGATATATACATGTATTTACAAACAAGACAAATGATAATTTTACATAATTACACATTTACTAACAGGACAAACAGTATGATAATCATCTCAGAATACATATTTACCACAAACTGGTCTGATAATGACACGACTTTCAACACAAGCATGATGGATGTGTATAAATATAATAAATACATAAATAACAGAAAGACTTAGTATAGGTTTTGACATGGAAATATGATATAGGAATGCTAGAAGCATTACATGAATCGATTAATAAAACGTGGAATAAAATATATCAATACATGGAAATCTAGATAATAATTTTGATACAGAAAGGTATATGTAGTGATACATGTACATGTAGCACTACACAATTTATGTTCTTAGATTCATTGCATGAAATACAAAAGCACTAACTGATTTTGAAACTGTTTTTGGTGGGTTAAATAGATTTTCTAGAGAATAGGGTAGATAATTATCCGTAAATGTTTGGTATATGTAAACGGTACGTAAATTTTCATACAATGGACATTCTAGTAAAAAATGTGCTTCATCTTCAGTTTTGTGCATAGAGCATTGTTGGCATATTCTTAGATCTGGGGGGACATTTTTGTATCTGCCCATTTCAATTTGGAGTGAGTGTGAACTAAGTCAGAGTGCGGTCATGGCTATTTTATAGTTCTTGTTATGTACATAACAGAGATATTCAGCAGGTTTATAGATTTCTGTTTTAAATAAAGTATGTATAGTTTGTTCTTTTAGTATATTCTGTACGACTGTAGTAAAAAAAAATCAATTTTCTTTGCGTGTATATTTTTTTTTTTTACCTCCTGTGGTATGTTTTAAGAAATTAAACATATTTTTATGCCATCACGGTCGGTCTGTCCATCTTTCTGTCAATTGGATTGTGAATGTAATAGAGGCTACAATTTTTGACTTGTTTTTTTTCATATTTTGTGTGAAGTGTTGTGGTCATAAGAGGACGAACTCTATCGATATTACCCTTTTGCCAAAAACCTTCTTAATGCCATAGAGTTTTTAATTGGACCGAAACTTCACATCAAAATGGCCGATCCCTTTTACAAGAATCTTTCTATGACATAATCAAGGGCAATCACTCTATAATTATTTATCAGAAATTGTTGAAATTGGATAGGATTCTTTGTTGGACTAGTATGAACAATGAATAATTTCAAGCTGAGCAGATGATTTATTTTTATGATAGACTGCTCACAAGATTTTACAAATTAAATCTTAACTCGAGAAGTTATTAATGGAAATTACTGATGGTCCACCTTGGACTTCAGCTTTACTCTGGTTCCCAACGATTATGTAAAGGGAACAGCCTCACATTCCCCTTAAACTCGATGAGTTAGCAAAAGAATGATACTAAAGATTTTAAATTCTTATATATGTTTGTATCTATTTATTCCCATTTATCTGTTTTATGGATTTCAAAATGTATTTTGTATTTGTAGACATAAGTTAGATGTAGTAACATGTGGTAAACATACAGCAAGAGTACAGAAAGCTATTTGTAGTGGTTTCTTCCGTAATGCTGCCAAAAAAGATCCACAAGAAGGATATCGTACAATAGTTGATAGTCAAGTTGTTTATATACATCCATCTAGTGCATTATTTAACAGACAACCAGATTGGTAAGTTTAGTATGAATTGTTTACTGTACTGATGTTCAATATAAAACAGGGGGTGGCCGAATGCTTTAATGTATGCACTTTAGACCATAAGGTCGGTCAGTCTCAAGTAGCGTGGTTTCGATTCCTTGATTGTGCATGACAAGGAGTTGGGTTGCCAGTTGAAACCTCGTGGGTTTTCTCTGTGTCCTCCGGTTTGCTCCCACTGCTGAACACCCCTCAGTGCCAGCAAATTATTGAAATAAAATTTAACCATGTTAATCCCGAAATGACCTAGTGGACATTTAGCCCCATTTCTCTCTGTCTCAATATTAAAAAGAGGTGTAATCCTTGAGTGGCCTTCAGTGATTGACCACAATAAAACACAACAAAGAAAGAAAGAAAGAAATGGGGTTTAACGCCCACTCGACACAAACTAGGTCATTTCGGTACTAACATATGGTTTAATTTGATTTACATAATTCGCTTGCGCGTAGGGGTCTTTAGCAGTGGGAGGAAACCGGAGGACCCGGAGAAAACCCACGAGGTTGGACAGGCGACCCTACTCCTTGCCATGTACAACCGAAAAACACAACAAATATTTATATGGAATGCAATCACTGATTGTTATAGGTATAGTGTTAAGTTTATACAAGTATTCTCAGAAAAAAAAATAAAAGTGACTTGTAGCGCTATATGTACAACAATCAGTGACTGTATTCTGTATAACTGTTGTGTTTGATAGATGTGATTTATTAAAAATCAAAATAAGCAGCTTCTAGAAAAGATAGAACAGGCTTCAAGTCAACAAATACATTAGTTATATTAGGTGATATATATTTAACTGCCTATTTTGATTTATTTTTCAGGGTTGTGTATCATGAGTTGGTTTTAACAACTAAAGAATATATGAGAGAGGTCACAGCTATTGATCCAAAATGGCTGGTAGAATTTGCACCAAAGTTTTTCCGTTTCTCCGACCCAACCAGACTTAGTAAACAGAAGAAACAACAGAAGATTGAACCTCTACATAATAAATATGAAGAACCCAACCAATGGCGTATTTCTCGAGCTTTCCGAAAATTTCACACAAAAGTTACATTTTAATAAGTATATGTGTATATTTGGACATTTTGATGTTGTGTCTATGTGGTTACAACTTGTTATTTTTCTTTTTTATGAGAGTGGATATTATTGTTTTTTAAGACAAGTTTCAACTCAGGATTAAAGACATACTATTTCTATATCAGAATTAATGGTAGTTTTAGTTGTACAGAATTCTTGTTGTGTATGTGTGAATTTGAATATATAAATTACTGATTAAAGACAGAAATTGGGTGTGTATCTAGTTATATATATATTCTTGTTATTATTAAATTTTAACCTAATTAATGATGCTGATCATCATTTGAGTAAGTTCCTTGCAATCTAAAATATCATGAAAGTTGAATTTCTTTCTGTCCAAAAATGGTTGAATTCTGTTCAGTATTTACAAAACAAGATAAATTGAAACTTCGCAATATTTTTTTATCCTCTACAGATGATATAAACTAACCAGCACCACCTCTAATGATTGGGTAAATCATTTGATGGGCTTCTTTTTAATCCAAGTGAGGAGATTATCTACCTGATTTCATTAATGTTAAATAAACAATTTGAGAACATTTTAATATTGTTTGAAAAATATAGATGATGATCAACTGTTTTAATTTGAATTTATAAACCTCTGAAATGTAATCTTGATCCTCTAAAATCAGGTTTTATGTTTTAAATATAATGTTAATATAATTACACCCATGACATCTCAAAGGCAGAAATTTAAGATGGCAGGACCACTTTGATTTTGGTACATTGTAAAATTTGATTTTATGCTTGTTTTGTAGGATATCAATCTGTCTTACTCCAAAGTTATATGTCTATACTATAGATAAGCCAGTGTTGAATTATAATTGATGTGTATTCCTACTTAAGACACAGTGAGACACAAATAAAACTACAATTAGCTAACATTCCCAATTTTGCTTTATCTTTCGAAAAAAAAAGTTAACAGTAGAGACCTTGCATTTGTCCAATCACTGATTAAAATATTATCATATCAACCAAATTTAATACTCTTCTTAACATAGTAATCGCTTGTGTCTAATCGTATTCTTACACCTTGCATGACAAATTTTGTCCAAGACATCACAGTTTTAATGAACAATGGCTTGGTCTTATTATATCCCAAAGCAACTCAGTGTATACTTTGGTTTACAATATATTGTGTGACTGTAGTTCCTTCTCAATAAACTAATTAACCTGGGGCTCTCATTTTAGTCATACATGTATTTGAAAACACTTAAAAAATATGTATTAAAAATTAGCATATTGTTTAGAAAAAATATCTTGCTAAATGGTTGAACAAGAAATGTTAAAATTTGGCTGGCTGGCTGGCTACATTTTGAAATGAAAGACCTATGATTAATTATAAACTAAAAACCATAGTAAATGATCTTTCCACTGCCAATGTTAAGAAAATTCATAATGTCTTGTTATTGTTACATGTAAATATTTACAAGATGATTGTTCTTTGATTTGATAGCGCTTATTTTCTTGTTTAAAAAGAAAGGAAAAATTCTTATATCATTTTTTGTAATGCTTATGTACATTATATGAGACAATTATGTTTATATGTAAATATGTAAAATAAAAGTAATTTTGTTTTATTAAAATATTCTCTCACCACAAGTTTTTGTCCACCATTTTGTTGACATGTTCGTTGGCATCTGTTCAACTTGTGTGTTATAAAACTTGACATATAATACTCCTACTAATATGGTCATATACCCATCTAGATTACACTTACATGTATCTGTAGAAGTTACAGTTGTGAATAAAACGATAATATCAACAAAAAGGGCCAATCCAAATGAAAATTGAATAATGGATGTCTCAACTAAATGATAATATTAAACGTGATGCTATACATATATAATTATCCAGCCATACACATCTATTAAATAACAGCATCTGTTTAGTGTGTGACGGGTATTCTCTTTCTAGAAAATATGATACCAGTACCACATGTGTAGTTGGAACCAGAAAAACTTTGTCAGTTACCACAAATATACCGGATATTTTACATGAACCCTGTTTTATTTAACTCTGTCCAGGGTGTTTTTTTTTTAAAAATTAAAATTCTTTATAAAAAATACAGGAGAAATCTGTTTTCGACAAAACAGTATTATAAGCAGGGACTGTGCAGCAGATTATAAAGTGAAAAGTGAAGGGGGGGGGGGGGAATACAACAACGGGAGAATTAAACCTCTAATCTAAGCGAAATGTCAGTCCAAAAATTGTTCATTTACGTTCAGTAGTCTATTAAGATCTGATGAACTGAAAAATTTGTTTTAAAACTCGGACCAAGTTTAGAAGACCACTCATTCCACAATGACCACTCAGACCTAATTAAAATTGTACAAAAAATCGCGTTTTTATACGCCCACATTTTCATGTGGACGTATATAGTCGTCGCCCCTGTCCGTCCGTCCGTCCGTCCACAATTGTTTGTGAACAGTCTACAGGTCACAATTTTTATCCGATTTCAATGAAACTTGAAATATAGGTTTATCACCCTAAGATCTCGGTTCCTTCGATATAGGCATGTATCGGACTGTAACTTCGTGGATTATGGTCCCTGATTGTACGAAAAATCACGTTTTTAGCTTGTGAACACTGTAGAGGTCACAATTTTTATCCGATTTTGTTTAAACTTGAAATGTAAGCTTATAACCCAAAGATCTCGGTTCCTTGCGATATTCGCGCATATCGGACCATAACTTCCTGAATTATGGCCCCTGATTGTACAAAAAAATCGCTTTTTTAGCTTGTGGACCCCATAGAGGTCACAATTTTTATCCGATTTACAAAACCGTTTGAATATATCACCGTTACACCCTGAGGGTGGTTGAGTTCGAATTTCGTAAAAATAAGACCGAAACTGACGGACAAAATGGCCGCCCCTCGTTCGCAAATAGTGTCAAAATATTGTGTATCAGGGTTGTGGATCCTCTGGAGGTCACACTTTTCATCTGATTTTGATGAAATTTGAAATGCATATTTATAACCCAAATATCTTGGCTCCTTTTATATTTTCGTGCATATTGAATCGTAACTTCCCTAATTATGGCTCCTGGTTGTACGACAAATCGTGTTTTTAGCTTGCGGTCCATGTAGAGGTCACAATTTTTATCCGATTTACAAAATCGTTTGAATATATCACCATTACACACTATGATCTTGGTTCCTTTTGATAATCGCGTATATCCGAACGTAACTTCCTGGATTATGGCTCCGGATTGTTCGAAAAATCGCATTTTTAGCATGCGGATTCTCTAGAGGTCACAATTTTTTTTCTGATTTTAAAAACCGTTTAAATATATCACCATTCCACCATAATGAAGGTTGAATTCGAATTTCGGGAAAATCGAAATGAAAATGTCCGACAAGATGGCCGCACTTTGTACGCAAATTGTGTAAAAGTATTCTATGAAGGTTGTGGACCTTCTAGAGGTCACAATTTTGAATCCGATTTTGATGAAAATTAAAACATATCTTTATATCCCAAAGATCCCAATCCCTTTTGATATTTGCGCATTTCAGACCACAACTTTCTGGATTATTGGCCCTGATTGTACAAAAAATCCCATTTGTTTTTAGTTTGTTCTCTATCCATCTCTTGCAAAATGTGGACGTATCCTGCCTGGCAGCCGCTGGTATCCGATAAGAGGTTATTTTATCTAATGGGGGGTTGGATGGCTCAATGGTTAGCACATGCGTGCTGTATCATAAGGTCTGTCATTGAGTCAACTGGCATGGTTTCGATTCCAGTCTTGTACGTGACAAGGAGTAGGGTCGCCTGTGCCACCTCGTGGGTTTTCTCTGGCTTCTCCGGTTACCTCCTACTGCTAAAATCCCCTCCGCACAAGCGAATTATTGAAATAAAATTAAACCATGTGTCGGTCCCAAAATGACCTAGTTTGTTTCGAGTGGACGTTATGTCAGAAGTGACATTTTGGTGGACAAATAATGGGCAAATAATTTCTCAGTCGCTAATGTCCTAAAGTTTTTTCATGTGGACGTATTATGCCGTCGCCCCTGTCCCTCTGTCCGTCCACAATTTGTTTGTGGACACTCTAGAGGCCACAATTTTTATCCGATTTTGATGAAACTTTAAATTTATGTTTATATCACAAAGATCTTGGTTCCTGTTGATAATACGAATGTAACTTTCCGGACCATGACCCCTGATTGTTAAAAAATGGCCTTTTTAGCTTATGGACCCCTAGAAATCGCCATTTGTATACAATTTTAAAAACATTTAAATATATCACCGTTACACATCATTGAAGATTGAGTTCGAATTTCATAAAAATCTAACCGAAACTGCCAGACAAAATGGCCACTCCTTGTGCACAAATAAATATATCACCATTCCACCATAATAAAGCTTGAGTTGTCTATGTGTTTCTGGATCAAAGATATTTATCATAAACAGTGATAAAAAAAAAAGTTGAGTAAATTCTTAACTTAAAGATACATTATGGGAGATTAGAAAAAGAACTGGCAGTTTTCACTATAATATACTCAGCCAAATTAAAAACTTGACACTGATGAATTTCAACAAATTTTTTTTTCTGGTAAGTCAAATAAATTTTAAAGTGTTTCTAACGATAGTAAGGAGTAAGAAGCCTTTAATTTCATAAAATTGAAAAGTCACGTGGATCACGTGACTTTTGAGCATATAAAGATGAAAAACCTGAAAAACACGGGCAAACACAAACTCGTGAGGTCAATCGATGCAAGTTTCCTTAAACTGAACACGCACACGTAACTTGAACTGGAAAAACAAATTAAAATTGTTATTTTCATCTTTGTTAGAAAATGCCGCGCCTTTCAAATGTAGAACGTCTACGTGCTATAGGTAGGCTCTATGCTGGTCAGTCTGTGGTCACTGTTGCAAGAGCATTTAATTGTTCACGCCAGACAATAATTAATCTTAGAAACTGGAACTATTGACGACCACCCAAGGGCGGGAGCGCCACGTGTGACGTCACTCCAGGAAGATCAAGCAATACGATTACGTCATCTTAGAAAGAGATTTGTCACTGCAACCTCCACAAGTAGAGAGATGTTTGGTGGAAGGGTAACTGCAGAAACTGTTCGAAATCGCTTGAAGGCTGCTGGTCTTCGAGCTCGGAGGCTCTATTATGGACCAATATTGACACCTCTTCATCGCCGTAACCGACTTGTGTGGGCCACAAGACACAAAAGATTTACTCAAAGACAGTGGAATTTGGTTGTCTTTAGTGACGAATCTCGATTCACTTTGAGATTTGCCGATGGCAGGGCCTGAGTGTACCGCAGACGAGGTGAACGTTACGCTCAAGTATGCGTCAGAGAAGTTGACCGATTTGGTGGCGGCAGCGTCATGGTTTGGGGTTCTTTTTGTGCACATGGACGTTCTCCTCTTGTTGTTGTCCAAGGGAAATTAAATGCTGTCCAGTACAGGGTCAGATTTTGCAACCTGTTCTTCTTCCGTTTATGCAGAGACATGGGCCTGGACTAACGTTTCAACAAGACAATGCTCGACCCCATACAGCAATTGCTACCCAGAATTTTTTGAGAAATGCCGGTGTCCAAGTCCTGGATTGGCCGTCGCTTAGCCCCGACCTTAATCCACCACTGACGTTGCAGGACCTTCAACATGCTCTTGCTGAGCAGTGGCGACGTCCTCCTCGGGTAGTGTTTACTAATGTTCTGAGATCCACGAGAAGACGTTGTGTGGTAGTACGAGACGCTAGAGGAGTCCACAACTGTTACTAAATACTTTATATTCCGATTGTTCTCCAAGTCTGTGAATTTCATTTTGGGGGGTACTGTGACATCACGAACGTTATCAATGTCAAGGACTTTCGGCGAGACGTATTCTTGCTTTCTGTTGATGTCAAGGTCGTCTGTGCACAACATTACACTAAAATAGTTGCCTTAAACCAAATATTAAAAATCTAGTCCCAAAAATCCCGAGTGTCAAGTTTTTAATTTGGCTGAGTATATTTAAGGAGTTATGTATGAGACCCCAAAGTAGCCTTTCTCCAGATCGAAAATCATAGAACTTGGGATATGTTGTAGAGTGTGATTGACGAAAAGATATATTTTATATCCAACGCCGGGGGTAGGGGGGGGGGGGGTTCTACCCCTTGGAAATTTTCAGAAATTGGAGGCCGAAAACATGATTTCCTGGCATTTCAGGCACTTGTGTCGGAGTCATTTAGAAGTACCTCCCCCAGAAAAAAATAAAATTCTGCTACAAAATTAGCGCATTCTGGTTTTAAATCAAATTAAATTATTTTTTTAAAAAAAATATACCCCCCCCCCCCTTTCCGATCAGACACCACAAAATAAAGTGATTTTTTTTTTATAGATAAACAATTCATTTCTCTTTTTTTTTTACTTCACAGACTTATTCTTCTTATTCTGACCTGTTGAAGTTAACTAATCAGCAACTTGTCGTTGATAAGATTATTAGATCACAATCATTGGTTCCCAAGAATAAACATTTAGAGAAAATTGACCAGCTATCTTCAGTCTTACATCTAAAACCCCATGAAATAATTAAATATGAAGATTTGTGTAAACTTAATGATTTGGAATTGAAAGACTTACTCAGGAGAAATCATTTGGAAGTTATAGGCAAAAGGACCCATGATTTGGCGCAGCTGTCTTCAATTTATAAATTTAATCAATCTACTATGTGTGCTTCATCAACATATTTGTGACATTAAAAATTCAGTTAAGGGCTGGACCCAAAATCTTAAATATTTGCCATCTACATCACTTTCACAGATTGAAGAATATTTGATTAATGCTCATTATATTAAAACATGTTCTTCAAACTTTGAAGAATTCACAGCAGGCACACTTAAGCGACATAAAGCTTTACGCAGTTACGAACTTTGCGACTTTGGGCTTTATAGGACATATACATTCTGTTCAGTTTAACAATCTTGCAGATAATTATTCATACTGTGCTTTACGCTCCAAAAGTAACCCATCTTGGGATACATCTGGAACTGTATATGAAACATCCATTGTTTTAGATAAATCTAGTGGTAAACCACTTGGTGGTCATTGTTTATGTGTAGCAGGATTGATCAAGGCATGCTCTCATGTTGCTAACTTACTATTTGGCCTAGAAGATATTGTTAGTAAAGGTTTAACAGAACTGCCTGACACTTCGTGCACATCTATTATATGTTTCATGGTCTGCACCAAAATCCAATAATCAAGTTAAACTCCTTAAAGACGTTCCTATTGTAAAAAGAATACCTCTTAGGGTGGTTAAAAAAAAAGATTTGAAGAGTAGCATCTTTAATCCAGTTAATCCTCTAAAGGCTGGGGTAAAATTTGAAAAGGCACAACAGCTTTTTTTAATTTTTCATGAACTTAATTTATGTCGTCCAAATTTACCTTGGTTGAAATCGGTAGATCTCAATAAGTGGAGACCCGTAAATAATAAACCTTTGCAAACATTTGGACCCTCAGATCTTAAGGATATATACTTATTACTATCTACTAAATGCAATGGGTATGATTCCACGTTGAAACCGATACAGGTGTGGCTAATCCCATATAGATAACATATTGGACCCACATGCCATATAGATATGATATTGGTCCCAGATACACATGTGGGAAATCCCATATGGATACCATATTGAACCCAGACATATATATTATTTTATATGTGGCAATGTCATATAGATATGATATTGACCCCAGATACACATGTGGGTAATCCCATATGGATACCATATTGAAACCATATACATAATATACATGAATGTGGTTATATCATATCCATACCACACAGACTTTTGGTGCACATATGATGGGTAATCTTTTCTGGGCAGATTGGTTCACAAAACTAAAAGTATGGATTCAAAAATGAACTTATACATACACAAATTAGTAATCCCATATGGATACAATATTGGCCCCAGATGTACAAAAGTTATATGTAATCCCATACACAGATACCATATTATCCCCAGATAGATACATGGGTAATCCCATATGGACACCACATTGGCTCCATGTATACAAAAACAGAGTTGTTAATGTGGGTAATCCTATATAGACCCCATATTGGCCCAAGATACACACACTATAAGGTCAGAGTATCCATGTAAGAAAGAAGTAAGGATTATATCATTTGGCTTGTCTCTGTGATATTAATATACACACAACTAAAAGTATGGCTTCAATAATGATCTTTAACATACACAAATTAGTAATCCCATATGGATACCATGTTGGCCTCAGATATACAAAAGTTATGTGCTCCCATACAGATACCATATTATCCCGAGTTACACACACGAGTAATCCCATATGGACACCATATTAGCCCCATGTATACAAAATAGAGTTGTTAATGTGGGAAATCCCATATATATCCCATATTGGCACCCTATACACACACTATAAGGTCAGATTATCAATGCAAGAAAGAAGTAAGCATTATATCATATTTGGTTTGTCTCTGTGATATTAGTATACATGAAAATAAAGTGTATTTGCGTACCTTTGTATGTGGGAAGATAATATGGGTCCAGTATGGGGACCTTGTGGTATCACCTGGGCCCACATCCCATTTTTCCCCATATGGTCCCATAATGCAATGTTTATGGGGGTTATACAAACATTAAAGAAATTATGTGTATAGTAATATGAGTTTCAAATATTTCAATGTTATGCACACATTAAAGACATTATCTATAGTAATATGGGTTTCAAATATTTCAATGTTATACAAACATTAAAGACATTATCTATAGTAATTTTGGTTGGTTCAATGTTATACATGTAGATACAGTAGATACACTACTAATAGTATTATGGATAAGTAATATGGATATCAAATATTTCAATGTTGTTTGAACAGTAAATACAATATCTGCAGTAATATGGATATCAAATATTTCAATTTTATACAGACAGTAGATACTTGTCTATAGCATATGGGTATCAAATATTTAAATATTGAACACACAGTAAATACATTTTCTATGATCAACATAGGTCATACAGTAAATACATTAGTATCACATATTTCAATGTTTAAACGGTAAATACATTTTCTATAGTATTATCGACATCAAATATTTCAATGTTGTTTCAACATTAATTCATTGACTATTAGTCCCATCAAAAAATAGCAAAAAATAACCCAAACCTAGAAAAAATTGCAAGAATAACGGGGTTTATGGTAAACAACTTCTGAACTGATTCCAAAAGTAGATTCACCGGGCTACGGGAAAATTTATAATTTGCATTAATTTGCTTGTTTTCTGACAATATATATATGCAGCACTGCGTTGAAGGAATGTATTTTTGAAGGTATAGATGAATACATCTTCGATTCACGGTGCTACGGGAAAATTTATAATTTGCATTAATTTGCTTGTTTTCTGACAATATATATATGCAGCACTGCGTTGAGGGAACGTATTTTTGTAGGTATAGATGAATACATCTTCGATTAATAATAGACATCGGGTAAATGCTGAAGACCTTTCTCTTGTCATAATTTAAAATGGTTGCTATTTTGCAAGATGGCGGCGATTATTCCATCAGTATGGATATCTGACAAAAGTAATAGTCCAATCAATACATAGTTTGAGATTAAACAAATAGTCTGATCCGTAATGTAAATTACGGATCAACACCAATGTTGACATTTTTCTGAGTACCCGGTAGGTCTTTATAGTACGAGACGTCATAATTTGAAAGGTAGCTATTTTGCGATAATATTGCAACTTATTTTTTATTTTCACTTTGTTTATACTGTCGTCGACATACCAACTGTGATTTGGCACTTTATTAATATTGACAGGGGTCATCATGACTTTTTCCATCTCTTCGTGAAGATATTTTCAAGATGGCGACCATTTTGGGCTGGAAAATTGGACGATGTGCTGATTTTAGTAGTGTTGGTGTCAATATATATGTTTTCGGGGGCACAGATTCCATTTCTGCCAGTTACAACTGTGTAAAATGATCACATGTTCACCTATTTTGCATATATCCAAGATGGCAGCAATTTTTCGTGGGAAAATGGGCCGATGTGCTGATTTTGATTAAGTAGTCGTCTTTGGTGCCACTATATGGTTTAGTAAGCCCAGATTCCATTTCTGCCCTTTACATTGAAATATTTGAAACCCATATTACTATAGATAATGTATCTACTGTTTGAAAGAACTTTGAAATATTTGATATCCATATTAATATAGCTAACGTGTGTATAAAATTGAAATATTTGAATATTACTATAGATGAACATTGAAATATTTGATATCCATAGTACGGTAGATTTATAGTTACAATATGCAGTGTCTTTATTTATAGGTACGGTCAGGGGACTATTATAAGGTATGCGGGGTTTTATGTGAGTACGGTATTGTGGTTTGAAGTCAATTAAATGAACATAAGTAAAATTTTGCCCAGCTGTCTCATATTTACCTGTAAAACAGTACAGACAGTCGAAAATTTAGAGCCCTGTCGTCAATGTTTGCTATTTGTATTTCAATGAAGACATACGACATACAGTATGTGTGAAATTTTTCCCGGACAGTGGCACTACGGCCTACTCTTACATATACACGTAGTTATATTTGTATTTCAGATGGAATAGATAAGTATTATCTTAAGTCAAGACAGTTAACTTCTCGGCATTTGTACAATTCCAAGTACCCAATTCCGGCTATGAATCATTCCACAATACCACCATTAACTGCTCGGTATCAATCACGGGTCCAGTCACTTATGAAGTTTTTGTAATGAAAGGAGGAGATGGAGATTGTGCAGGTATCCAATTAAAACCTAATGATGGTACTGACTTATATCCCACAAACAGAACAATTTGCAACTACGACCTCACTTCCGACATGCTAACCATCAATAAAAGCTTTACCCTTAAATTGTTTATCAACAACACGCTAGCAACCGGGGTGGATACTACTGTACTTATTGTACTTAGTTCAAGTAAGTTTCAAATTTTAATTTATGAAATTTTATGAATATTGATCAAGTTCTACTGGGTAATCTAACATATTGTTTTAAATCTCATTTACCAATAAAATAAAAAATCGTCAGTGGGGGGGGGGGGTGTCAACTACTGTAACCAATAAGGGGGATAGGGTAGGGGTGTAGCATTTGGTCTACTGCATTAAAATTTCAATTTTAAAAAGTATTGTTTTTCTGTAGGTTCAGCTTAAACAGCTTTTGAATTGTTTGATGTTTATTGTGTTGTGATTTTTGCGTGTAGGGGGCAACGGGTCTTAAAGGAAGGACCTCAAACTCTAGTTTATCTCCAATGTTTGTCCCCGAAAAGCAACATATTCTGGTTTTCAGAAAATAAAAAAATAATGTCTCAATAATTACCGCTCGTAAATGATTTCCCAGGGACAGGAAGTGACTGTATCTCAATGTTCACTGGATCTCTATGTTCACTGGATCTTTATGTTCACTGTATCTCTATGTTCACTGTATTTCTATGTTCACTATGTCTCTATACTAACTGTATCGCTATGTTCACTGTATCTCTATGTTCACTATATCTCTATACTCACTGTATCTCTATACTCACTGTATCTCTGTGTTCAATGTATCTCTATGTTCACTTTCTAGATTTCTGAGCCAATCGAAGACGTGAATAAACCATGCAATGTGCTATGAGGAGAATATTCCAGAACTGCGGGTTTCTCCCCACTCTTTATCGAATTCCAGTTGTCACGGTAATTTTCCTGACACTGGAAACGAACCAGTGATCCCCAGATTAATGAACCAACATTCCTACTCACTGATCCACCATGGCTCCCCTGCTGTGTAACAGATTACTACATGAAACCCAACGTCTGTTTTCTCTCTTTTTATATGATATTGGCTTTGCTAACTTGGAGGTACTGTGTTCGACCCCGTCGTCGTTCCCCTTGTTAGTGGTGCAGGACAGAGTGCCTGGAAGGGACGAAAACCCGTACACCGATAAAATTATCCTCATAGCACACTGTATGGCGTATGTCCGTCTTCACTAGCCCAGTCGGGACAAGGCAGTTGGACATTAAGACCCATTTCATTTGATTTCTCTATTTACATATTATAGAAGAAGGGGGTGGGTCAATGGGAATAATAATAGGAGCTGTAGTAGGCGTTGTTGCCGTAGCAGGTGTTGGAGTTGGTGGATTCTTCTTACACAAGATGTTGAAAAAGGTAACCCCTCATAGTAAAACTAAACAAAAAACAAAGGAGCAAAATCTTTTAAATTTAAATAAAGGATTAAGTTTTGGTGATCTTTTCAAAGGAACTGGACCTAAATGAAACCCACCGACCGCTCACCGAAGATTGATTTATTTTAATCAGCTATGCAGGATAGTAAATATAAATTTGGTTCAAAGTTCAATACATGTTAAAAAGAGGTATTCTGCTAGACTTAAATCTGACTATTACAGGCATTTAACTTCAAATGTTATATTAACTATTAATTAGCCATTTATTAATATCACAAGCCTAGCCGACGAATGGTCGGCATTTAAATGGATTAGAACACCCGCTAGTTTTAAAAATTTAACTATAAATATAAAATGGATAATTGTTTCTGGACACTCGACAGGTCACAATATTTATGCGATTTTAACGAAACGTAAAATATATGTTTATATCCCAAAGATCTCTATTCCTTTCGATATTTGCACGTATTGGACCATAACTTCCTGGATTATGGCATAGACTGTACGAGATGTCAAGTTTTAGCTTGTGGACCCCCTAGAGCTCACAATGTTTATACTTAATGGCCAAAAGATCTTGGATAACTTTGAATCCGAAAAGGCACTCTTCCGTTAGCATTTTGAATGGTTGACGACCAGGAGAGCCATGTTTAAGTCCTGTTCTCGGATATACAGTTAAGCTTCTAATCATTGGAATCGTTTTGTTTGTATACTCCCGCATTTCACCTAAATGTCACATTTTTATTTCAAAATTTCAGCCTGTAGGTACGTCACCAACTAAGTCGAAGTAAAAGACCCAGGTTGCGGTATCTATGGACAACAGACCAACCCATCATTATTGAACTGTAATTGGTTTATTTTCCATGAATTGTAATCAAAGTAAAATAGCAGCATAAGATAACCGACCCACCAATTATTAGAAGAATAATGTATTAGATATATTATAAACTTTATTAAAGTGTATATGGGCCAAGAGGTCTAACGATCCTGGTAGCTGGGTTCTTTGGAGGTTAAGTGGCCTAACACGTACGCTTTAGATAATAAAGTCTGTCAATGAATCAAGTGACGTGGTTTCGGTCTGCGTGTGCTCTTTATATCATAAGATCTGTTATTTGGTCAAGTGGCGTGGTTTTGGTCTGGCGTGTGCGCTTCAGATCATAATGTCTGTCATTGAGCCAAGTCCTTAAGTCAAAACTTTGTGGTTTTCTCCAGGTCAGCCGGTCTGCTACTACTCTTAAAACGAAATGAAAATGAAATGGGGTTTAACGTCCTACTGTTCTACTCCGAACCGGGCTAACGAAGATGGACATACGCCATACATTGTGCTATGAGGGCAATTTTGCCCGGGCAGCGGCACTACGGCCTACTTTTATATCGAATTTCAACTGTCAGGGGATCTTTTACGTGCACGCCTATGTTTACACTGGACCTCGGTTTTTCGTCCCACCCGAACGACTAGACAGCTGTCCTTGTTAGGCCCTCCGATCTGCATCACTAACAAGGGGAAACCACGCCGGAAAATCTGTATAAACTTTCTCGGCCAATGCAGACTTTTAAAAAGACCCCTATACACATATATTAGTCCCGATTGAACGATAAACCCCATTTCTCTCACCCATGAATGCGAAATTTTAATTTAAATACCTGTTACTTGCGTGTTAAAGAAATCGATACAGCAAATGTGGTTTAACATATATTGAACATCAACTAGGTTATTTCTAGATATATTTATTGCAATCTACTAATGAAATGAAATGGGGTTTAGCGTCCTACCTTCGTGCACCAACTATGGTAATGAAGACGTGAACCAATAATTTGGTAGTTAATTTGCCTAGACAGTTTTTGATGTTAGATTGCAGTCCAAATTTGCCTTTTTACAGACTTCAGACACATGATGTTTCAAATTTAGATTGCAGTTCAAATTAACGCCAAAATGTCTAACCACATTTATAGCCTAAACTGTAGCACCACCAACTAAAACTGAATTCGTTTCATTTCTTGGTTTTCGGCCATGCTATAGTTTTTAACAGATTTCTTTTTCAAATTTGGTTTGAATCATTGTGATCATGAGAAGACAGGTCCTATCAATATTCAGCGTTCCACGACTTTCCGTCCTGGAGTTACCTCCCTTTTCTGAAAGTTAAATAAAATCACTAAAATGAAAAGAATTCAGTTTTAGTTGGTGGTGCTACAGTTTAGGCTACAAATGTGGTTAGAAATTTTGGCGTTAATTTAGACTGCAATCTAAATTTGAAACATCGTGTGTCTGAAGTGTGTAGAAAGGCAAATTTGGACTGCAATCTAAATTTGAAACATCACGTGTCAGAAGTGTGAGGAAGGCAAATTTCCATCAACATAAAATCGGTAACATCAAAAACTGTCTAGGCAAATTAACTACCAAATTATTGATAAATGCGTTTGTAACATCTACCTTTGATTACTGCAATTCGTTGTTATACAATTTACCTGACTGTCATATCAATCAACTACAGAAAAACAAGAACAAAGCAGTCAGGATGAACTGTGGAGCGAAAATTTCGCAAAATATATCTCCAATCCCATCTGAGTTTCACTGGCTATCTCTTAAATATCGGATAGCCTTCAAGATAAATATGCGCACTTTTAACTTCCTCAACAATCCCAATTCACCAGCCAGTCCCACGGAACTTATACACCCATACAACCCTTCCGGAAAGCTCAGATCATCAACAGAAAATAAATTAATCTACCCCACGACCAGAACTCGTTTTAGTGAACGTGCGTTTTAAGTACGGCACGCATCGCCTTGTGAATGGAACAAACTGCCTTATGATGTAAAAGAACGCCCTAATAGACCAGAGGGAGACGGGGGGTATTATCCGAAAGGTGGGCAAAAAGCGGGAGTTGACTTTTCTAGAAGCATTTTTCCTCAGGAATCCGAAAATGGTGGGTGATCAGTCAGGTGAGGGAGCGTTCAGGAGTTATCGAGGTCAAAAGGTCACCAGAGGTCAAAGGAGGCTGGCTTATGAATTTAGCCACTTCTGATGCTGTCTGTCGCAGATTTCTTGATGGAACGCAGCTGAATCATTGAATAAGTGACGAAGGATAATTTGTGAAACCAATTAATCAAATTATGACGTAATAGAAAAGGTCACCGAGGTCAAATAAGCAAGAAATAAGGATGCACTGAGATTAGGGGCAAAACTAATGTTATTTTCAATATGCAGTACAATTCTGCATGGTCTGGCGAAGTAATTTCATCCAAAATTAACGATTATGTTAAACGAGTGATATGTCATACCATAAGTATATAATCGCGAACATTTTCACAAACTGGAAGTATTATTCTATATAACCCGGGAGCCCAGTGAGATTTAATCAAAATATTGAGTTCAAAAGGTTTGAGGTCTACAACACATATTTTACCCCTAGATCATTTTGGAAAGCCAAGTCTTAAGTTTTGTAACCTGTGCATATACCTGTGCATATACCTGGGAGCGCTCCCCCTAACCCTCCCATATTTAATGGGAGTTAAAATTCAATGTCCATCTACAATTTTTTTGCAAGCGTTTCACACTTAACACTAAGAAACAGAATGCATGACTTAAGAGCATACAATGTTGTGCTAATGCTAATTAAGAGCTTAATTAATTAGCACTTATTAGTGACCGTAATTAAAATTTAGAGTCCATAACTGAAACAAAGCCTAAAAGCTAGCTAACCAAGTCATGAAACCAAAAATATCACTTAAGAGCGACAAAAGTTGAACAAACCTTGCTTAAGACTCGTTCAAAGGTCAAAGGTCACTAATGAATGACCATAATTAAAATGTAGAGTCCATAACTGAAACAAAGCCTAAAAGCTAGCTAACCAAGTCATATGTTTTTTCATTCTTAATCTTAGCTATACACTAGCCTATCCATGATCATTATCAAGACAGCGGGCTAGACAGGTTTTAAGTATTTTGTAATGTAAAATGAATGATTTTATTAGAGTAACACTTATAGAAGCAGTGACCTTGTTGCATTCTCTGTAATCTCCCTTGATATTAAGGCATTTTTCTAGTGAAATAGACCGGTCCAATATCCTTAATCAGTGACTGACTGTCACATATTATGTCAGTGTGATCAAAATACCTTTTGTGGCTCTCATGGGACGTTTTTGGGGTTCATTTGATCTCTGTTCGTCCCAACCGCGAGCGATTTGCAAGGTAAATCGTTCGCATGGCTTTGTTTACAAATGCTCTAACCTGGCACTTGACCCCTGAATTTTTGACCGCAACCCCGCAAGTGAGACCGCTGATTGGCCAAATTTTAAATAGATGCGCAGGATCCAACTCACATCTACGTAAATATGGCTCCGCACTATAAAGAAATAAGTCATCGATTAATAGCCTATTTCGAACTTGAACTATTAAATTGGCAGATTTTATTGGAGAACTTTGTTGACATATTGATTGCACGATTATTGATAGTCCGATTTGTAGACCGGTTTAGCGGGAGCGAAGGTGACAAGATTTTCACCCCGAGAATACGGCCTACATGAAATGATGTACTAATGCTACTTAAGAGCTAATTGATTAGCACTAATTTGTGACCATAATTGAAATTTAGAGTCCATAGCTGAAACAAAGCCTAAAAGTTAGCTAACCAAGCCAGGAAGCAAACAATATCACTTAAGAGCGACAAAAAATGAACAAACTTGGCGTAAGACTGGTGACAAAGGTCATATTCTGGGCCACATAATATTATGACCAATTAACCAATCAAATTGCTTATCTCTGCTGATCCTAAACATAAAATGCGCATCTTCGAACTCCATCAAGCCATTCACATAATCAACACCGACACCAAGTTTAAAAATTCTGCCTCAATTAGAAGAAGAATTATTGTGTCCCAAATGGCTTGATGAACAGACAGACGAACAGGCCCATTGTAATAGTTCCCTGCTTTCTTCGAAAGGTGGGTGACAATAATGTTGATGTCAGCAATAATTATGCACTTGTAAGTATGGCAAAGTTATCAGTACAGCAAGGAATTTTAAAATTGAAGGAGACTAAACTTCCTTTTAGGCATTATTCGATTTAAAGAAGTAATTCCAGACATAGTTCAATGAGTGAACTGTTTAAAGGGTGATTAGCTCGATTCTTTTGAAGATACGAAATTGGGGTCGGAAAGCACATTTCATTAATGTAATATGAGTATAAAGTAATATGCCCAATTTTGAATTTGTTTTATTGTATATTCTAATCAATTGTGAAGCGTCATTGGATAAAGAACTGACACTTCGCGCTATAATGGTTAAAAATAGATAATGTCAAGAGAATATGCTAATTTCAGTAAAGTTGCTGAACTCTGAGTCAAGAAAAAACTCATTTCAATAACACTGTAGACTCAGTTGTCATTGTTAATGTTGTAACGATAATAGGCAAGGCTCGCTTATCCATTTTTACGATTAATCACCAAGCATTGCTGAACAGCAGATCAGATTTAAATTTGTGTAAAATAAGACCCATCAGATGTCATTGAGGGTTGATTATGGTCTTGTCATGTTAATACATGTCTAATTAATAGATCATATAACATATAACTGATGAAATTCCTGCAACTGACAGATTTAGCTAATGTATAATACATGTTGATTATATGTTTGGTGAAATACGCGAACAATTCAAATTGAACGGCTTGTTTTGTTCTGTTTTTGACGGTGGTAGGGTGTGTGAAACAGCCATTTTAAATTACCTTTGCATTGTCGATAATGTCTCAGGTGTGTGCTTGTTAAAAAATTAGTATTTATTTATTGTGGACTTATCAATTAGTTTGCGAACAAATTTTCTTATCAACACCCTTTTTTTTTAACAGTTTTATGGGAAACAATCACAGGTTACTACAGTCGGCATCACGCTTGACAGTACCAGATCCATATTTACAATCGTTAACAATATAATATTG